TAGCTATGTGTATATATTTATATATATGTATATAGGTACACGTATATGATTATATAACTATATAATATATATGTGTTTGTGCATTTATAATACCAACATATACTTCCTTCATACTAAATATAACTGATTAAAATATATTTAAGATAATAGAGAATAACACAGCATTCCCATCTCCGCAGACACACACACACACCAGAGGTGGTTCAGGGTGATAGATAGATATAGACAGTTGTATATATATATGTGTGTGTGTGTCGAATTCATATTGAATCCGATGAAATATGTATACTCATAAGTATATATTCACATACATACATACATACATACATACATACATACATACATATATATGTACGTATGTCAGACCTACAAACACATATATTTTTTTTTTACATATACACATATGTATTTTATGTGTCGGTGTGTACATACCTGGATAGAAACACATATATGTATATATGTATGAGATTTATATATTATATATATATATGTGGCAGGGTGATATTTCCCATACAAGATTTATTTCCCAAAAAACTTGAGAATATATGTTAGAGGATCTAGAGTCCATCAATTAAACGGGGCATACTTTGAATTCAGTGTCCTGAAATTCAGGCTCACTCCAATCCTCTTCCATTGCATCCATTGCAGCTGGGTCAGTAACAAGCCAGTGAGAGAAAATGCTGCAGGGACGCTCTGTTACCAAACTTATGAACTTCCGCCGAAAATCCATACAAATCAGCAGAACTCAGGCGCACATTTTGTGATGTCGAGTTCCGCCGATCGGAAAATGAAAAAATAGACCCCTGAACAAAAGGAAACATATTTTTTTCGGCGCCCAAAACAGTCGACATCCAGCGGACGCCGACAACTTACATGCCAAGACGCACTTGGAGCACTGGGGACCCGTGCGGACTGAGGACAGGATATGTTTTGTCTGTGGTGACTTGCGCGGATCTGTTGGGCGGATGGAATTGATTCAACAAAAACGTGGAAATCCATAATTCAGCGATTGGGGCTGCATGAAGTTCACAAGTATTCCAGTTCCTTGTTGGTGAGCAAGGTGGTGTGCAGAGCAATCAGCACGTGAAAATGGTTCTGAAGTTGGATTCGGTTTGCGCAATTTTTTTTTGCCCAACTTGTTTTTTTGATGAGCCAAACTTTCGTTAACAAAATCGCCGCGCTTACACACTCAGAAGGCATTAAAAGATCGTCAGCACCGGGGGGGAGAAAAACAAACTTCGAAACCAACCCATTGTCAAAGGAAGGGCGGTTTTGTAGGCGAAAATTCAAGAATTTTCAGGCATGGAGAAGGTGCAGCAGGTGAAACAATGATGAAAAAAATCGACGAACCTTGTGTTGCCGACGGCAAGGGTAACAAAAAATGGAACAAAAACATTTTAGATGCAAACGTGAGAATGGGCAGCCTGCACTTAGTTAGACCGGCGAGCACTCACCCCGGAACAAATTTCAGCGCGAAATCCTATGCAAAAACTACGGCGTAACTACGGCGGCTCCAGTACAAACAATTTTTCTCCCCGTACCTCTTTCCAGCGAAAAAAAATGATCATTTTTTTCATGTTTGTTACTCTATATTGTTTTGGGGCCGTAATTCTGAGGTTCTGCTCCTGGAGACTCGGCGCCGTTTCGGGAATATATGTCGCCAAGCACGGCAAAAAGTTCAAACCCGGAAACAATCACAGTGGTTCATTCCAAGGGCTTCCACAAGAGCATACAGACCCGGAAAAACCAGAGGGCCTACAACATTGCAGGAGGATATGCCGACACCTACCTGACCTGATCAACAAATAAACTTTTGCAATCGATTATGGGGCTCTGGACCTGGATTATGGGTTTTCCACATGTGGTTTCATGGACCTTTTTCTTTACATAAATCAACCTAAATCAACCCTTCCTTTGAAAGGTTTTGATGTTAATACAGGTAGCCTGCTAAGATTGCTAAGATATGACCATGCCGACAACTAAGATTCCTTCGACCAATGAGATCATTGGCCCGCAAATCTTATTTAACCAATTGGGACCCTTTAGCCCTTTAGCCGCTAATTGGGAACCATGTTCTTTCAAACCCTTTTCCAATTCTATTGACGCAAAAGGATGTCCAGTCCAAATTTCGAAATAACATCATTCCTAAATCGAAATTCTGTTCAATGGGATCCCAGATCAAACAACTTTAAAGTGATTGCATTTTACATATTCAGGATCTAATTGGGATTAACTGGGTATATGGAGGCAGCAGCGACCGAAAATGGTACCAGACACATGCCTTTTGAACTATAGTAAAGGTGCATAGAGCCAACAAATCAAGATAGTAACAATCCCCAAAAAGCTCAAATCTGTCAAAGGTTCAATTTTGTTAGGATCTAAACCTTAAATTTTTCAGCAACTTATTTTACAGACTTTGTGGACCTTTTTTCCGTTGCGGACGATTATGGGGCATGAGACGTCCTGAGATCTGCTGAAAAAAAAAATCGGCGGAACTTTTGGGGGCCTGTGCCCCTTGATCGGTTGCATTTGTTTTTTTACGGACTTTGTCCGTCGGCGGAACTCCACAACACAAATTGTGTACCTGACTTCTGCTGTTGTTTTTTTTCGGCGGAACTTTTGGAGGCCTCTGCCCCTTGATCGCTTGCAATTTTTTTTACGGACTATGTTTTTTTTTGTTTTTCGGCGGGGCTCCACTACACAAATTATGCACCTGACATCTGCTGATTTTTTTTCAGCGGAACTTAGAATTCAGACCTATGGTTCGGCGGAACTCAACATCACAAAATGTGTCGTGCACTTTTGCTGATTCAATGGTTTTCCCTAGGATTTCTGCTGGATTTTTTTTTCCACAATGTTCAACATTGTGGATTTCCGACGCGGAAACGGAACCAGATTTTCCACGTTGACAGATCCAGTGTTGCCCTTCCAAAACAAAGGTGGTCGGAAATTTATTTCCCCTTGTAATGTACCAGGGTTCGGGACTGCGCACCACATTTTTTTAAAACATTTTTAACGTTTGTTTTTTTTTGGATTCGTGAGTTTTCGTGTAGACGGCTGCATGGCCATTGGTTTTTTTCCCTCATTTTTTTTGCCCGGCGCATCCGTTATTTGACGACAGAAACGAGGTTGGCACATAAGTTCTTGTCCTTGGTACATGCAACTGGTCTAAGCTTTCAAAACGTGGCTGCAGTGCACCAATGCCAATCCGAGTCCTTGGTTGCCCTGGGGAGTATGGTTTGCCCACGATCCTTCAACCAGGGCTATGCGTTGTGAGAACTCTGCGTCGGCATGTTTTTCAAATTGTATATTCACCAAGGGTGCAGTCTACGCGTTGTTTTCAAAGTGGCGTGCCAATACCAGCCTCAGACCTCAGTTGGGCATTTTGTCACATTATTGTCGGTTGTCTGGTCTGAGGTTTCAACTACGTGTTCTTTTTTCTTTTCATTTTTCGAATTTTGCCATGTTGTTTCCAAAGCACCGATACGGTGCCAGTGTCTTGGAAGGTGTCTTCGTTGGGCTGGATCCGGGCATTTCTTCGCCTCTATCCGTGCCATTTGTGTGCGCAGGACCTGTGTGCCCTTGTGGTGGCATGTGCATGACATATCATGTGAAATGGCGGTTTCCTAAAACGGTGCTATTTCCAAATCATGTAATTTGGATTCGTGTAATATTGACGCCTATACTTCGAATAATTGCGTCGCAAGGGGAAATCGCCAACGGATCAGAATGCCCCGAATCTGTTGCAAATTTTGGGAGGAACAAGGGGCAACATGGCAACATTGGTGGGCGAACCGGTTGTCAGAAGTCAACGCGGGCTTTCAATTGAACCTAATCTGTTTTTGCCATAATGAAACATGGCCTGCCTGAACACATTGTTTGGGTCACAAAAAATTGTTTCCCCATTGGCCCCCAAATGTTACCAAACTTTGATCATTGGCGGGGGAAAATGTAAGCTACAATGAAGGTGTGGTTATGCCGACAGGAGGGAGTAGAAAAGAATTGTTCATGTGCTGCACATGGGGGAACAGAATGCAATCATAATATGTCATAATATGTAGCTGTAGCTCGCATAAGTTGTTATGGCCTTTGCACATTTCAAACCTGGAATGGTTCCATAGCCGTCAGGAGTTCATTGAGGTGTGCCGCGACTTGCCACCGCGTCAACGGCTCAGTGGTGCAACATCCACTTGTGCGAGGTGGATCAGCAAATCGAACCCACGTTGATAACGGAACCCACGTAATTTTTTACTAGTTTGTCATGTGTTTCCTTCCTTTGAAACAATTGATGCTTGTGAACCTCTGCGTTGAGGCTTGGGGAACCGGGATGAATACGTGATGTGGTGGTGCGAGGCCATGCCCTTTGGATTGGGGATTTTCATGGATTTTCTCCATGACGTGAAAAATCCAGCCAGGCTCACAATCGAGTGCGCTCAGACCTGTCGCAACCGCTGCGGAGGTTCCGCAAAGTTGGGAGAAAATTGGGGGTTGTTTTTTCTCTGGGCGTGTGAAATTGGGTGATACATGGTGATCGTTTCAAAAATTAGGTTGATGCAGCATGGTGTTGTGCTTGCCAAGACACCTCAACTTAACTTTTTAAGGAAATCTGTTTCGCGGCAGGTGCGAGCTTCAAGAACTTTTGGCAGCCGGCCAAGCCAGTAGCCAAGTCCATTCAAAACAGATCAAAACAGTTTGATTATTTTTTCAGCCACGATTGATCGAACCTTCGTGTCAGATATGAAGTATGCCTCCTAGTTTCTTTGATCGAGGCCGGTCTCACCCTTGCAGAAGTTGAGCGATGTAAATCAGCGAAGTGACCCAAAAGTCATGTTGCCGACGTATGTTTCACAAAGGGTTTGACCATGGTTTGACAATGTTTGTGCATGTGTTCGTCAGGCGTGTGTGCCTTAGCTCCCTTGTGACCAGCTGTTCTGGACCATAAACATGTGCACACGTTTGACAGCGTTGTTGAAAGCCAGCTTTGCTCAAGCACGGTGCCCATGAAGCGCAAGGCGGCCGCGAATCCATCCGACCGCAAGGTGGCAACAGATGCAAAAACGTCCAATAAATCACCGAAATCTTCCAGCCATCATCCAAAACTGAAGGATTCCAAAGCGGATTCCAAAGTGGATTGCAAAGTGGATTCCAAGGGTTTGTCCGAAAGGCGCTTGAAGCAATACTCCGTGGCCCAAAAAGGGAAATTCCCGTTGACCGTGGGCATCACCGGTGCCCGTTGCGGGGACTTGCTCCGCGGGGTGGAGGAGGCCAGCAACGGCGACGTGGCCAATGTGGTGCTGCGCCTGGTGGCTGGGCAGGTGGCAGCGCCTTTGATCATCCGCCGCTCGGTGGAAGCGGAGCTGGGACGGGAGGCGCTGCTGGCGGCGGTGGCGAAGCATTTTGGCATCTCCCGGGCCGCCGCGGAACTGAGGCCGGCGGGTGAGGTTGTCGATATTTTTTTTGGAAATCAATGGCGGGATGAAATCTATGGGAACTGCAGGACTTTAGGTATGGTAGGTCAATGGGTTTCATCCGGAAAAAAAGTAAAACATGATAAACATTGATGAACCATTAACCATAAACATACCATAAACCATTGACTCTATATATTGGGATGCCCACATTTTCAGACATCAGACAGCCAGGTACAACGACTTTCCAAGCTCCGAATGTCCCAATCATCAACCCTTGGGCTCTGGATGTTCCCATGGCATTGAGGAGGATTGCACCTGTGCGCCCATGGCGTCATTCGTGATTGTGTCGCAGGGTGTGTGGCAAAACTTCGCCGAACAACATGGCAATGGAGCAGAGTTACAGCACCTTGGCGGAAAGTTTGCAGCTTGCAACCCAGGATTGGCTTAGCATCCTACTTCTGAATCCTTGTATGTCCTAGTCATTGAAAACTATGTCTTTTGCTAGCATGCGACTTCATGAGCTAGATGCATTGCAAAATTTCTTGGGCCACACTGATGGTTTTTAAATACAGATGTGATCATATGTAACATAATATTTTCTCTCCAAAAATGCATGGACTGCCCACATTCATAATTTGAAGCGTGTCCAGACAGGGCCATGGTTTCCGAGCGACGAGTAGTGTGCTGGCGAGATGTCCTCAAGCTCATGTACACTCCAGGTTTACCCGAGGCGCGGTTGAGTGATACTGTTCATTCTACTACGTTTATTTTGTCAGAAACCCTTAAGTATCTTAAGCCAGCCAAAATCAATTCCAAAAACTCAGGGTGCCCAACAGCAGATGGTTTTTCGATGTTTTTCGCCATCCCTTTTTGGTACAACCCCTTGGTGTGAAGCCAGGGCAAAAAACTCATTTTGCGGCCGCGGCTTTTTGAGATCGTTGCGGGTCCGGAAGAGGTTCTACCAACGGATCCGGCTTTGTCCAAGGGATCACTGGTGGATGGTTGTCAGGCCGGGGCTTCACAGGTGGTGGTTTTCATGCGGCAGATGAAACATTTCGTGATTTTGGAGCCTTGAAAAAATGCAATGAACTGGCAACGGCCGTTCGGATTTCGCGCGTCACCCGATCAACCGATACGCCAAGAGTCCACCAGATGACCCGATAAAGGTGAAGTCCGTGGACTCCCGGCGTATCGGCTTATCGGCGCAGACCGCTTTGAACCGGCCATGCCAGTATGCTGAAAAAATGGAGTGGATAGGATTTCAGAGCCTTGAAAAATGGAAGGAGTGATCTTGAGCCTATGAGTTTTCAAAAGTAGAGATATGACTATTTGTGAACATATCAGTTCGAATGGTAAAAAAATGGAAAACGGAATCACTATCAAGCGAAGATATCAAAAGGGTTTTTTTCTTGTTGATTATTCCAGGTTTGGCCTGAAGTGTCTGGTTCGGATGTGACATACTTGCGCCTGGATGACTTCCTGGTGCGGGTCCCGAGTTCATCTTCCACTGCTTGGACCATTGAAGTGGAGACCATTTGTGAAGCTTTGAACGGTTTGGTGGAAGCTTCCGCATGCGAACAGCAGGTGATGTGAACTTGGAAAAAATGAAACAGTATCCAACATGGTCCGAGGATTGGCAGATTTTATCTGTTTTATCTGTTTTCAATGGTTTGCTGCTGTTCTATTTGTCCGGGAGGAAAGTCCCTGCCCTACCAGGTGAGGTACGCCCTGAAGCATCTGAAAGCCTTAAGTTTGGGTGCCCTGAAAAGCTGTGTGCAGAAGTTGATCCGCTTCCATGCCAGCCTGGTCCAACTGGGTTCCGCCGGTCCCAACGGTACCTCCGAGTCCAGCTGCGTGCCCAGTTGCCTGCTGGTGGCTGTGGCTATGGCACTTCTGTCTGTTCGCCAGCAGAGGCGGCTTTTCCCCCGAACTTCAGCTCTTCACCCGCGGCTGCACCGCGGCCTTGAAACGTCTGGCCGTGATTCTGCTGGAGGATGCCTGGGTGGAAGCCGAGGACACGCCGCAGCAGGTGGCTGCGCTGTTGGTCCTGGGGCTGGTCACGCAGAGGATGCACGACTACGAACCGCCACGGCAGCTGATTCTGGCGGTTCTGCGGCTGGCAGCGAAGGCACAACGGTCCAAATGTATCATTGCATGGCGCAGTGAAAAGGATCAGAAAGGTGCGCCCTGTGCTCTTTTTGTTGATGTTGGTTGGCAATTTTTTGTGGAGAGTTTTAGTGGGAATCTTGATATTAATAAAGTGGTGCCAATGAGATTGGGATTTTCAGGAAATGGGAGGAAAAACAACTGACTTGACTTGAGCTGTTTAGGGCATCATTCTCCAATCGTCCATTTTTTCGTCAAGGCCTCCACGGCCAGCCACGGCTAGGAGCTGGAAAGCAGGTGAAAGATGTGAAAGGTGATGGAGGTGATAATCTACTGCTGGTTTCTGAAGAGCAACAGCAGGCGATCCAAACTTCAGCTCGTTTACTTCGCATTTTGCGAAGTTTTCCAGGTGGGCAGTTACGAAAACAGCAAAAACATAGTTGGTTGATCATTTGATGTAGGGGGTATACTACCCGAGCTATAGGGGAAGAATATCAGGAATATCACGCTCCATTCTGGAAATATCTATTTAACTTTAACCAACCATTCGTATCGGGATTTTCCCGATGGGTTTTGGACATTCCCCAGGTGACATGGACATGTTCGATATCGTGGCCCAATGTAGCTGCTCGGGATTCTTACCGTTGTTGCGTGCAGAAAGGGGGCCGGATGTGATGCCTCTGTGTCACATCGTGGACCAACACACCTTCCGTGGCATCGGTCATCTATTGGGAGAAGACTCGGGGGGAAGCTTCGCAGATCGATTTCGGATGCTGTTTGAGAAATGCACCGGGTGTAACCCCAGACTGGCGGATCTGTCTGGCTTTGAGACGCTGGGCTGCAAGTTCAGCTCGGCAGTGGATGCCCCCCGGTGATGTGTTGTTTTCCGCCTAGCGGGCCTAGCCTTCACCACAGACATCCGTGTTTGGCCGGTGGGGTGAGATACTGTACCTTACTGCATCGTCCACACATAATTGCCAGTAAGATGCTCCCAGGTGACCCCATGACAAAGTCAGGATTTTGAAAGCAACAACCAGTTTCGTAGCGATTCATCCCACATCCTCCCACAGTTCACTGGCGTTTCCTCACTGCTCCAGGTCCCGACCGGAAGTTTCCCTGGCACGTTTTGCCCAGGGCTTGTGTTTGAACATGGCACTGCAGCAGTCCCGGAAGGTGTTACCGGTGATCTCGGAAGGGGTTCATGTGAACCTGGAACTGGATACTGGGGTGCTTCCTGCTGCAGTTGGGCCCCTTCCAGTCACCTTAGCAGGGCGGAAGCCTAAAGAAGCTGAGACTGAAGGGAGCCAGAAATCCAAGAAGCGCAAAAAAGAGGATGCTGAGAAAGTTGACAAACCCCAAGTCGTGGGAAAACGCGGCAAGCGCGACTTGTTGGTTTTGCTGGGTCTTCGATGTCCAGAGGATGAGGTGGTGATGCAGAAGCCAGTCAGAGCTACAAGAGACTTATTTGGAGAACTGACAGACCAAGAGAGGGCTGCGGCTGTCCAGCAGGCTCGTTCTCAGTCACATCGACTCCAATCTCCCCTGCTTCCAGGGCTGAAAACTGCCAGCTTCAATGGTCAGGTTGGTCAGTGGATGGTGGATGGTCAAACCTGGACGAAACTCCTGAAAGACGGGGTGAAGTTGAAAGTTCCCCTGGTCTCCTCCCCTTTTTGGTGCCCCGCGTCGAAGTGTTGCCTCACCCCGGAGCGCATGGCGCAACTCCTGCGCGACGATGCAGCGGTGGCGGAGGCCATGAACGTCACAGGCGTTGGGATGGTCCCGGAGGCCCAGCAGCTGGTGATTTCCATGAGCAGCGCAGTGCCCCATGGCACCTCCCTGCGTGCTGTGGCCCTCTTGCGACAGCACATGGCCCAAATTTGGGAAAATATAATATATATTTCCATATAATATAGTGTAATATGATTATCGAAGGAAGTTTAGAAGTGAAACTTCCGACAATATGGACAGTTGAAAAGCAGAGGTGGGAAGAGCCAGAAGAGAAAAGATCAGAAGAGAGAAGATCAGAAGAGAAAGAGTCAGAAGAAAGAAGAGGTAGATGCGCGAAAAGATAGGAAAGTCGCGATTCACTGTGTTTTTCCAATGATTTGTGGTTCCGGAGGGTCGAAAAGTAGGCTCGCTAAAGTGGCGGGTGCGGAGCCAGCTGGCCAGATGAGAGAGGAAAAATTGCACGCCGTTGTGGCGCGAAGCACATTTCCAAGTCAAAATGGACAAAACACTAGAGGATCGGACCACTTTTGGAAGTTGAGATGTCGAAAAAGTGCACGCCGTTGTGGCGCCAAGCACATTTCCAAGTCAAAATGTACAAAGCACACCACGTTCGAACCACTTTTGGAAGTTGCGATGTCGAAAAAGTGCACGCCGTTGTGGCGCGAAGCACATTTCCAAGTCAAAAGTGTTAAAAACTGACAGTCTCGGACCACTTTTGGAGGTTCAGATGTCGAAAAAGTGTCGAAAAAGTGCACGCCGTTGTGGCGCGAAGCGCATTTCGAAGTCAAAAGTGTAAAAAAACTGAGGGTTTTGAGCCTTTTCTTACGTGAAGATGTCGAAAAAGTAGACAGTGATTAACTTAACTAACTTGACTAACTTAACTAACTTCACTAACTTAACTACCCTAACTTCGACGACAGCAGCAACAGCAACAGCAACAACAACAACAACAACACCAACACCAACACCAACCACAACAACTACAACTACAACAACTACAACAACTACAACAACTACAACAACTACAACAACTACAACAACTACAACAACTACAACAACTACAACAACTACACAACAACTACAACTAGAACTACAACTACAACAACTACAACAACAACAACAGCAACAACAACAACAGCAACAACAACAACAACAACAACAACAACTACAACAACAACTACAACTACAACTGCAACTACAACAACAACAACTACTACAACTACACTACACAACAACTACAACCACACAACAACTACAACTACAACTACAACAACAACAACTACAACTACAACAACTACAACAACAACAACTACAACTACAACAACTACAACTACAACTACAAAACAACCACAGCTACAACTTTATGACTGCAACTACGCTACACTAATTACATTACACCGCAACTACAACTCCACTACGCTACAACTACAACTACAGTTGCAGTACATCACACTACATCCAGCAGTTGTGGGTGAGGTGACCACTGCAACCATTGCAACCACTCCAGCAAACACAGCTCCAACCACCTTTCGGTCAATCAGTGGCTTCGCTCTGCCATCCCTGATTCACAACAACCAACGTCTCCTATAGGTTTCCTATTTTTGAAACTTCCGCCACCGCCTTGTGCGGTACTACTGGTATATATATATATAGTATAGAGTGTGTGTGTGTGCGTGTTGTCGCGTATTTTTTCAGGTTCTCAAGGCTTTGTTGTGGAGGCTGGGGTGGTCATTGCATGGCCAGAATAGGTTGTGTCAAACGGCAACATTTCAGTTTTAACTACAGTAACGGTTGCCTTTTTGCAGTATTGATATAGCTGCCAAAATCATGTAGAATCTGTGTATGCTTACCGCTATTGCCTACATATATTAGAATTATGAGAAACACACACACACGCCACTTACATGCACCTCTTCACATATGAGTTAATTACGTTCCAATACGTTTCATATCTCTATTTGCATTATGACAACTAATATGCATGTGCTTGTGTATGTTTGTGTTTGACTTAATCATTGTGTATTTATGATCATTTATCTTCGATTACATATGTGCAGCATGGGTTGGGTTGGAACATCAACCAGGCAATACAGCACCATTGCAATGCCGACTCCTTCCCTTCAAGGAACCGCTGATGGAGTAGGCTGTGAAGGGTTCAGATGACCCGGAAATGTGCAAAATCGCTGTGGCTCTTGATTCAGGCCCCCCCCAAAAAATAAGCGAACTGGGATCGTTTCACATTTCTAGGCGCGGATATCATTTGTTTCTGCAATCCCGGGGCGCCGGGCAATATTTTGAATTAAACATCTTGATGGTTTGTGCAGCTAATATTTATCAAGCCCATGTCTTGATGCAGTTCTTGAGAAATACCCTCCCAAACACCCATCACATTTGGACGACTTGTTCCAAAAACAATGGCAATTTCGGGGTCCGGAAAAACAATGCCAGGTCTGGCAGCCTATGAGGGAGACTGGTGGGTCTATCGATTCCTGGTTTTGATCTCCAGGGTGATGCCAGTGGCATTGCGCCCCAGTATGCCACCCAACTTCCAAGTGCTGAATCCCATCTTGCTGCGCATACTGGAGAAGTGGATCATGGAAGGCAAACTTGGCGAACTATTTGTTGCGGCCTCGAAATTGGAATAATTCAGGGTGACCATGAAGGCTTGTTGGCCTCTCCTCAGACCTTGTTTTGCTGCTGCTTTTAGATTCGATTTCTAGCTCCAACATGCTTCAACGGGTTGCTCCGGCAGGTGTTCAACAGGGAACATCTTCAAGTCCTCAGGGTGGCTTGGAAGGTTCACATTGGAAGGATCAGAAACTTTGGAAAGAGATGGAGAGCCATGCCTCCCTAAAGCTGATGGAGCATCAGCGGGAAGCCATAGATCGTAACCCAACAGCACGAAGTCACTGTTGGAGTTTTCAGGAGCTAGGCAGCTTTTCACAGGTTTCGATGTTCCAATAGTTTTTCCCTGTATGTCACATGTTCCCGCAGTCCTTGATTTCTATAGGCTTTTCCGGGCTCTCATTGCTTATAAAGGGAGATTGGACACACATACTTAGCTTATCAATGCTTATCACTCCTTGCGTCTGCAGAGTGTGTCTGCTGTCTGCTTTGAGGCATGATGGAGCGTGATCAGGAGCTCAAATGCGGAGGTCATTTTCTCATCATGGACACTGGTCATGGAAAGACAGTCACATCACTCCTCTATGCTTACAGGCTGGACCCACCGCATTTGGTTCACCTTGCCAGTTATCGGCTGCAGCATCCTGTGTTGGTAAGTCCTGAGTATTTCCCAAGCAGCTTACCAATAATGATCAACAGTGCCATGTGTCCAGTTCGTGCTCTCTCAGCAGCCACCAGCCATCCAAAATCCATGAACGTCCCATGAATGATTTTTCAATCGATTAAATCGATTTCACCGAAAAGATTTGCTTATAGATATCGTTGAAACATGTTGAAAATAGTGTGTTCAACCATGTTTCAATCCATGTTTCAATCCATATATCCCAGCCTCAGTGATCTCAGCGAGGTGGCTCTGCCTGCACGGCCGCAACGTGGCGCGGATCCTATGGATCACCCCGGCGGGAACGGTGGAGAATCTGCTGAAGCAGCTGCGCAGCTGGGTGATTTCAAGTGCCACCCAAGGGGGACGACAGGAACAATCCTGGGCAAACACTGTTGATTGTGGGGGATTAAACACTGTGGTGAATTCTGGATATTCTGGGGGATTGAAACATTGTTTCACAGTCATCAAAAGTTGAAACACTGTGAGTTCATCATCACCGATCATCAAACAAAATCAAACAAAGCTTCAAGAGTTTTGGACCTATATCTGATTTTAAGTGGTTGTTGATGCCGATGTTGGCCTCTGCTAGACACAACTCGCATTTGGCGTAGGTCTCGGGTACTCAATCTTTTGCCTCTTTTCATGTAAAGCTGCACTTTTTCGAAACATCTCCAAAAGACATCAAAGAACTGATGTAAAACTTAGGTAATTTATGGTAATTTAACATTTAGCTGCCATCACATCAAAGAACAAATCATTGAAACCTTTGCGACGAGATCTTGATCCCAGGCAGCACTTGGCATTGCCCGACTCATTTGGTGCCACGGATCTCACAAGCCAAAAAACCCAAAGTTGGTGAAACCCTGGATTTGGTCCTCAAGGATTTCATGGTGTATCTTGCTTGCAACTTCACTTACGAATCAAGGTTACGATAGGTTACGCAAGGTGCAGGTGGCAGATGATATACGACTCATATGACTTTATCCATGGTGATATTATTGAGATCCTGGCAGAGTTGTGTACTGATTCTATGGTTTCGGGATGTTTCGGGGGGGGTTCCATCAGAGATGTCGTTGTCAGATGTCATGAGTCTTCGCGGGTCTTGCTGAGTAATGTGATCCATGCGGACCACCTACGAACAGCGATCGACAAGGGGTTGGCTGTGCAGGCGCCTGGCAATGTGTTCTTTGTTGCAGGGAGAGTGTTCTTGGAAGTCCTGAAATATGGAACTCAACATCTAGATGTTGACACATACTACCCTCTGGTAAACTAACCTAGCCGTGGAAAATCACAATCTTTAGTAGGTAAATCAACTATAGATGGCCATGTTCAATAGCAAACTGTTTGTTTACCAGAGGGTAGATGTTGACACATATTACCATATTACCATATATTACCATCCTTGTGTCCGTTGAGTGGCTGGTGGCATTTGTTGCCAGGCCACCTCCTCTGTGATCATCTTTGATGAAGTGGACGAGATGTATGCCCCCACCCTCCGCACCAGCGCCGCCCGGCGCTTGTGTCAAAACTGCCTGGGGCCTCAGATGTGCTGCTGGCAATGCTGGCCCAGGGACCAAGATCGGGAGAACATTTTGGTTTCTGAATAAATCTAAGCCTTATAAGCAATGTAATTAAAGGTCTATGTTATAAGTAACGGCTATCGATGGAATAGTAACCACTGTAACTAGTGGAGAACTACGGTTATCAGATTGTAACCCCGTTCAGTTCTTTGAGCTTTTGTTTCAGATTTTTAATGGAGCCACAGGTCCAAAGTTCGTAGCCCAGACAGCCACGCCCATGCGGAAGAACGAGTCACAGCTGCTGGCTTGGCTGGCGGAGCCTCAGTCTTTCGAGGTGAAGTTTGGAACAGACGGTTCTTGAACACCAAAGACTCCTAGGGTCCTAGACTTCCCTGGATCGAAAAAAAACAGGTGTCAAACAAACCGCTTTTATGAGCTGAAATGGGGCGTCCATGGCAGTTGGGGTTGTGATTTAAAAATTCCAGAAAAAGGCTCGTGTTTTCGGGAACGCTGTGATGTCAACCTATGTTTTCTTTGGAACAGCTGGGCTGTTGATCCTTGGTCTGTGTTACTTTGGTGGTAAATGGTTTAAAAGACAAGATCTGTTGCTGGGAAGTGCTTCGGCGTGGCTCGAGGATACCTGCGCATTTCCAGTGGACAAGAGGAATTGGTTGGTGGCTGCATCGGGCATGGTTTCCATGCAGCTTGAGTTAAGCTGGAGGCTGAGTTGTCGACGCATGTTGAGGCCAGCCAAACAATGCAGAGTGAGGTGATGGAATCAAACTATAACCTAGAGCTAGACATTTATGATATTTTATGATCATTTATGCATAATACAAGGTTTGTAAATGCTGTTGGAACTTCAGAGAACCTCTGTGACACCACAGGCCACAGGTTCTTCAAGTGGCTTTGGGGTATCAGACCATCAACTTTTGATCATCAGAGCTGCCGGGGGATTGAGGCATTTCCGCACGTGAAGAGGAAGTCCTTGTCCCTATGGTGGATGCCGTCGGCATCTAAGTTGCCGACTTGGCATTGGCTAGCAATCATTGGAAGGCAGGCCATGCTAAAACATGTGATCTCGATAGTTAGTATCAGGTGGTGGCCATCCGAGTTATACGTTAGTTTCTAAGCTCAATTAACCCTAGATATATCATGATAATCACTATAATTGTGAGGGACCCATCTGGTTAACCTACCAGCAGAATAAGCCAACAATTACGAGGCAGTTGCTACCTTGTACCAGTGCCTTGGGGGAATAAGTCGAGGTCAGAGACCGTTGCCGTCATCTGTTCGCATCACACGGCGCTGCACAATGGCTTGAGATGGCGCGTGGCTTGATTGAAACTGCGATGCTTGGAGATTTTGAATGGATATTGGATGGTCTTTTCCCCTTTGGAAACTGTGGATCCAGATTCATCCAGATTTTATTTGAACATATTTGAACTTACTGAGGTGTGGTTCAAGAACACACGGATGCGGCCATGGTTCAACATGCCGTTCAAGCCGCCAAGCAGGACGTTTTGGGCATTCAACTCTTGGATTTGTGATACCATCAATGATGAGATATGATGAGATCGAAATTAGTAGATGACACATGATGGCACTATGTTAGAATATGTTGCCCAAAATATGTTGGAATATGTTGAATTGAATCTCTGCCCCTTTTAGTTTTTGTTCTTGGAACATTTGGAAGTGATTCTTTCAAGATTCGGCCAGTGGATAGACGCCACCAGGACAGGTCCAAACATCCGTATGGTGGTGTTTTACTGGTGGCTGACTCGCACCTTGAATCGCGATTGGCTGACATGTGATGACCTTGGCGATAGACAATAGACATACCATCTGGTTATGACTAACAGTTTGCCATGGAAAATCACCATTTTTAAGTTCGGTAAACCATCTATTTCTATGGGCCATTTTCCATGGCTATGTTAAATAACCAGAGGGTATTATGATGACATATCCGACATATGTAGACATTTGCGATTGCCATCCTGACTGGGCATGGCACCGCAACCAGGGGTGACTTTGCTAGCAATAATATTCCAGAAATTCCTGCAGAACGATGATTTTCACGTTTTGAACGGCATGAGTCACAGCCCTTCCAATTCCTTCCCATGCCACGCAAAAAAACAAGCAAACAAAGAAATCTGGTTGTTTCATGTTGTTTCACCTTTTCATTTCCTTCAATCGTTGTGCGCCAGGGCAATCTGCTAAGGCGCCAGCATGCCGAGAAACTGATGAAGCTCAGCGCTGTTCATCTGCCAACGGGCGACTTTGCATCCCTGGAAGCCTCGGATGCTGAGAAGTTTGCCGTGGTGGTGGTGACCAAGGCGAGGGGAGACCGGGAAACGATGTGTCCACCAAGGTGCATGGCATCAAAAGCAAGAATACACACGCACACACGCACATGATTATATATATATACACATATAATATGTAATAATTATATTACATTTTGTCATGTTATATATAGAATATCTCTTTGCTGCATTTTTGTTCTTCCTTTCGGACGCAAACTGAGTTTGGCGTGTTTGAAGACCAACCGAATCAACGACTTTCACCCGGTTGGCAGGACAAAGACCGTGGCTACAATTCAGCACGCCGCAGCTCGTTGAACCATTCAAGCAGCCCTGCCCCATGTGGCACTGGCGCTCGAAAAAACAACAGAAAATCACCAACAGATGCTGAATACTTTGAATTTTTTGATATGGATTTCACAGCGGATTCTTCTTCAATGCTGTCCATCTGAATCTAAACTCCTGCTCCGCCATGGTTAGTTATAGACTATTTCATAGAAAAAAACGGTCAAACATGACCTTCAAATATACAGTGAGAAAAAAAAACATGATCTCCCTGTGGTTTTTCTCAAATCCCAAGATCTTCCAGTGATCTTCCCAGGACTGGGTGTGCTGGTCACCGGAGCCTACCCTGGTAATGCTGCCTCACGGCATCAGCTCCGGGGGCGGCTGAGACGGTTGGGACAGAGGCGCAAGGCGCCAAAGGGGGGAGAGCTATTGGAAAACATGGGGAAATGGGCAGTGGCTGCGGCAGCAATGGGATGACATGGGGTGAAATGGCTATGAAATGGCTATGGATGTTTTTTTTACACCCCCTTTTGTTGGATAGGAGGGATAGATTCCATGGGTACCCCAAATTCCTGAGCCAAAGCCAAGATGTTTCGGGTCTCATTTGGATGGAAATTCAGCTTCCGACACTCAGTTGGCGTTTAGGCACTAAGCCTTTCTCTGTGATTGAAACAACGCCATTCATTCAAATTAACAATTGGTATTGGCTCTCTTTGGATCTCTTTGATTTTCCCTTCAGGAACAGGTTTCCTTCAGAGTTTAAGGGTGTTGAGCTTTGAGTGAGAGCACAACATGGCAAACTTACGCGGCACGGAGAGCCTGTTTTTTTAATGTCTTGTGCACATGATTCGACGCGTTCATGCCGTTTCGGTCAAGCATGCTGCCCAGTGCCGAATGACGCTGACAGGAGGTTCGATTTGTCACAGTTTGTATGGAGAGCCTTGCCTTTCCGGACATGACATTCACACCATTTTTGTGATGTGGGTATTCCATGGTATTCCGATGTATGCTAGCGCCATACAAAGCAGTCGACATCCAGATCTCAGGAATTCCATTTTACATCTCCTACACCAGCGGCACAGTGATGAGCTCAGCTGCACTGTGGATCTCTTGGAACTGTGATGGCTGTGGCGGGTCCTTGAGGTGCAGTGGATACCATGAACATTTCGTCTCTCGGTCGCGGTTGCGCGAAACCGCTGTGTTTTTTTTCAGAGTTCTGAACGGTTCCATGCCCGATGTATTTTGGGATATTTTGGGATGAGTTAAACATGGTTTACTGTAACTAGTAACTAGTTGAACTGACGAACTTTGTCAAATGCTTGGGGGAATGGGTGCCCCAACCAGCTGTTGCATGCTGGTGACCCATGGTGACTGGCACGTGCAGGTTGGAACAGTTGGGCCAACGCTTCAGCGCAGAAGTTCTGAATGGCTTGAGGGCACCATGACATCCAAAAGCTTCAGCTACCCCTGGAGATGAAAAAGATGGCAGTGTGAATCAGTGTGAAACATCAGGGAACACCCATGAGATCCATCACGATCCATCGAAGATGGATTGATATGAACGAGACGGATTTCTTATGATTTCCTCCTGCCATCACCAAGGGGATTCTTACGGATTCTCGGGGACTGCTGTGTTTAGTGCGGCGTCGCTTCGTTTCCTTTTTTTCCCAGAGGGCAATCTTCTGGGCCGGACCGGGTCCTACCTGGTCGCATCGGCGGGCGGAGGACTCGACCAGACCACTTCAACGGAGCCGTCAATGGTTTTTTGGTGTCGAAACAAAGCCCATGATGATATTAAGACAAAGGGATGCTGCAATGGTTTGATAAACCTACCGGATAAATAAACACACACACACAGATATTCCTATATATCTAATATATATATATATATGTAATATTATATATATAGATAGATAGAGAGAGAGAGAGAGAGAGTGTGTGTGTTTGAAAAAATTAGGATGTATCTAGCATGGCAGGATGTGTCCTAAGTTGTTTATGATCTACGAAACACACGGGGTTGTTTTCAGCTGTGTATGTTGAAGGGTATGGCCTCTCTTCTGCCACTCCTTACCACCCAAGCTGTTCCGCACCGGACCCACAAGTGTACAGAGAGTGGCAACGAAGGCGCCTGGCTGAAGGGTAACAAAGGTGTGCTGTATATAGGTCAAAATGGTCCATGGTCAAAATTTGGGTAAAAGGGCCCACATTGGGTGATCATCAATCAATACGGATCTATATATAAGCATATTAGGACCTATTAGGATTCTCATTACGGGATGGATGACTAATTCCCGGATACAATGTTTTGACCATGGCACATATGAAGAGTATCTTTGATATTGTTCTTTCATATTGTTCTGTCTTCTCCACGCGCAGTTTTCGGCTCCAGATGGAATGACACCCTTATAAACCTTCTATAGGACGCATAAAGACGACAAGAGCCAAACATGCCCAGGGCAATTATGGTTCAGAACGGTGGCAACAATAAACTTTCCATGATTCTTTTTGAGTTATCCTAGTCCTATCGATTTTTGATATGAAATTTGCAATGCGATGCCCAGGGGCCTCTTAAGCCTATGAAGACTCATCTGCTACCCTGGCATATGGCATCAGCAGTCGCCCTGACCTAGGCCAAGGGGGTCAAGGGGCGGTGACTTTGCCAGGGATGAGCGCATTTTTGGGGGACAGTTGGACGGGAAAACTCATGGGTAGCTGCCAAAACAGGCTGTAAACGATGTTGCAAATGAAGTTGATTATGATGGTTCTGCTTTCAGACCCAGACCCTTCAGATTGGTTGGTCAATGTGGTCAATCATCTCAAACTCTCAACGGTAAGCGTAGAGTTGCGGCATTGCGCCTCGAGACCTTCGCACATCGACCAACTTGGTGGGATCCTGGATGCGATGGTGGCCACTCAATTGTAGCGTGGACCATCGCCGTTTGAGCTGGATCTTGCAAAGCAAAGGCAAGAACACCATGAACACCAAAATCCTCCAAGCAACATCAAGCAACATCAAGCAACTCTCGGTCAACTCTGAGTCAACTCTTGTGTTCTTATCTTTGAACGTCAGAACATCCATTTTTTGCGTCGATGATCTTGGCTGGTGTGAGTCAGAAAATCGGCCGTTGAACATGTTGAACATGTCGCTAAGTATTCAAGAGATGTACTGCAAATGTATGAAGCCCTCTGGTCGAACCCTTAGAGGGCCACAGTGACCTCCCATGACCTAGCCATGGTGCCACGTGGCCTGAAACTGCCCTGGTGGCTATGGCTGCTGTGGTTGCTGCTTCCCCCGAGCGATGCCATCATCAATGTTTCCATGAAGACTGTCATTCGAGACATTCCGCCAGGTAGGGCTGAAGGGAGGAGCTTATGTCTGCTGACTCTGCTGACTATTCACGAACTTCATGACTCACGGCAGTGCAAAGATGATCAACATTGATCAGTGATTGGACTTGAAACAAAAGCACACACCCTGTATGCCCGCAGGTCAGGTGGCACGCTGGATCTTCCAGGGACCTGGCATGGTGCAGCTGAATGCCAGTTGCATGGACCCCGCAGGGATTGTTTGGTAGGTTCCCATGGGGAAAGAACGTCATTGAATATGAAGATCTGAGGTGATTTACCCTCTGGTAAGCAAACATAGCTATTAAAAATTGCCATTTATAGTGGATTTTTCCATTAAAAATGGTGATTTTCCATAGTTATGTCAGTTTACCAGAGGGTAGTAGGATTGAACTGGATTGAAATGGATTGAGTAGGATTGAATCGGATGGTCGGCAACTCTCCAGTCATCTGCCTGCACATGTTTCGGGTCAAAACCATGCTCATGTCATCTGCTCAACGTACGGGGAAAAAAACACCACTTATTCCCATGTCATCTGACCCTAATATAATGGAATTTCATTGGATTTTGAAACTAATCAGATTTTTGATGGGTTTTAACAAATTGAGCACATTGTGAAACATTTTGACACCGTTGTTGGTTGATAATTAGTTTGGGTTGTACTAACCAAAATCTTGGATTCCCACCATATATATCCGGTGATGAAGGGAGGACGCTGTTTGGATTGGGTGGAAACCAAGCCACACGATCATGACAGTTACCTGTTCTTCAGAGGCAAGCCGAAATCCTAGCAGTACCGACTTGTGACTTTACCTTTTTCTCGGGTCTGTTGCTGTGCTCGTGTCACCGAACCGCAGCGAGGACGGTGCCCGGCTAGATTTCTATGTGATTTCTGGGGACCGAGATGAAATGAGAAGAAGACAACGAGGGCATCATACGCCGGTGATGAAGGACCGACTCGTATGTCGATTATGTCAATGGTCATTTCAGGATAGTTCAAGCCATTTCCCTCCCGTCATACCATGTCCGACCTTTCAGATTGACATCCTTCGGTAATCAGCTGCTGGGCCGCGGGGAAATCCCGGAGCAAAAACAGAGGTTTGTTTCGCTGGGAGAGTCATCATCATCGAACTAAACGGGTGGGGTTTGCGGCAAGCCGTGGCAAGCCATGTTTGATTACCGGTAGAAGGACCAACCTTGACACCCTATCCCACAGGATCATCCGGACTGCCAGGGCTGCAGTGAGTTCTGGATGGAAAGCTACCTGCCGCTGTTTTACCGAAACGTGACGATGATGGTGGCCAGTAATCAGGACAGCCTGTGGCTGGGGGTGATCTGTTTGGGTAGAACCATGGGGTTTTAACCGCCATGAGTAGGGATATGGGGACCTCTAACTCTCAAACTTCGTGGCATCAGAACATCCAAGACTCTGAAGCTGTGGTGCTGGATAGCCCTCACCTCAATCTCAATTAGAACCGGGCATTCCAGCATGATGAATCCTACAGGACGGCAGCGCCAATGTGCGCATGCAGTTCACCGAATCCTTGCTGGACGTTCCGTCTTGCATGGATCTCTGTTTCGGGAGGCCCTGGGGATTTATGGGCATGGTGCTCATGCTGGCATTGCAACTTGGCCTTGGAACATGGAATCGCTCAAAGTGAATGAACCCCCCAAATGGGTAGATGTGATCAAAGATGATCAAGGAAGCCTTCAGTCATTGGCTGAACTCTTGGAGAGGGCGGTGGAGAGAGGGAGAGAGAGATCCAAGAATCCATCCTCTTACATCCTCTTACTATATATATAGATATTATTCCCATATCGAATCTTTTAAAGCACATTCTCAACAAAGATATTTTAGCGCGCCTAAACAAATGATTGGATGAACATCATTCCACCAGTTGGGGGTGCAGTTGGCCCCTTCAATGGGCATAACTATGGTAAAAACCGACAAGTTGGGATGTAACTTCACCCCTATAGCCTATAACTCATACGGGACCCATATATATATATATATACTTACCAAAATACATACATACACACACACACATGCGCATACATACACATACATACACAGACATACACAGACACAGACACACACACACATATATATCTATAAATATAAATATAAATAAATATATATATATATACACACATGCATACATGCATACATGCATACATGCAATACATGCAATACATGCAAAATCTCTCTCTCTCTCTCTCTGGTTATGTATAATGTTGCCTACGTACCATCTCAAGTGCCTCAACCCACCCCAGGCTTCGCACAGGTTTCCCCCACTTAGGCTATTGGCTTGCTGCTTCCACTTATCTCGTCCCATGATGCGCCGCGATCGCGACGGAGACGACGAGGCCTGGGCTCCTCACTTGGTGCAGTGTCGAAGGCCGCCGAAACCCCGGGAGGCGGGCAACAGGGCGGCTGTGGAACTGGAAAAATCTGGGAAATTTCTGGGGAATACTTCGTAGATGACTAGAAAGATATAAAAACAACAATTTAAATTCGGGATTTGGGGTGAAAATGGGATGGCCTTGGAAAGAATCCTATTCTGTCATATTCTATCCCACTTATTTAATCTACTTTATGCTTATAGGTATAGGATATCTCCAGTGATATATGTTTCAAATGTTATAATGTCTCAAGATTTGGGGTTGGAAGTTGGACCTCCAAACCTGCCACGGCTCAGGTATTATTTTCATATTTCCATATATTTATTAAAACCCTTGGATTTTCCTGATGGCGATGTCTTTCTCTTTCTCTCTCTCCGAAATCATCAAGACATTTGATGGATTTCCGAATGGAAAGGATGGAACTCGTGCGCAAAAGGTATGTTAGGTGGCCTTTTCCCGAAGTTCAGCCTCATTCAGAAGTAATTAAAAAACAGTAAGATCCCCCCAAAAAGGTCAGCCTATCTCTGTTTGAAAAAATGGCACAGATAGGCGGCACAGATAGACTTCATCCATCCACCTTCGTTGCGAAATGAGGCTTGGAGGTCATGGATACTCCATGGCTGCATCATGACCTATCCCTGGAACCCTTGGTACAATGATCCCCTGGAATATCCTCTGCGATGCTTGGAACCTTGGCTGAGCTCCATATCATCAGCTGGGCAGTATGGGCTTTTCAGGACTGACACAGAAATGAAGAGAAAAACACATGTTTGGTTTCAAACTATTGATTTTCTCACCATCTCCTATCCCTATCTGCTCTTGGCCGAGGTCTTGATGGTGAGCTTGGGACTGACGATGTTCATTTCCACCCTCTATGGTCACTTCTTCAGCTACTGGGACAGTTCGATCAGCCTGGGTCCATGGGAGACGGTCGCGGACAATGAGCCGGAGATGTCCACAAGCATGCAAGGTGTGGAAATGTGTGGAATTCGGAAAGCACCAGAGGAGCTGGGATATCCTCTGGAAGTTTCACGTCGTCATGGAACATTTCCAGGGACTCTAGGGAATCGTTAGGGAATTCCTACATGATTTATGGAAAGAGTCTTAGTGTTTTCTCCACTCGGGTGGGAACTGATCCTGATCGCTTTTCACTTCTGAACATCGGGTTTTGCATCCCAATCCTTCTGGCTAGACGTCAGGTGCATTGGAGGTGTCCGTTTTGTGCGCCGTCATCGAAAGTTCGCTGCGGATGCTGGCGCTGGCCTTGTTTCGCTCCTCGCTGGCCTGCTCGCGGCTGCAGAAGCGTTGGCATGCTCAGGTCATGGTCACGTCAAGTTGGAGTGTAGTGTGGTGGTGCAACCGGTCATGTGATGTTTGATGTTACCCCATCTAACTATGGTTGCAAGCCTCCAATAGTCTCCATGAAGTTTATTTATCTTAGTGATAAGAACAAACTCAGTAAATTGGGGGGCGCCTTGGCCTTGTATGTTTGTCAATCACTTTTTGGCGTGGCTGAGTACTAAGAATGGCCACTCTTGTAGGTGCCTTGGTATGCCGGTATGCTCCTTTTCCGACCCATCCACCGTTGGTCTGGGCTTCTAGATTGTTCTTAGTTCATTTAGTTCTGGCTGCCTTCATCAACTTCGGATAAACTTCGGACCTGGACACCTCAACTCTGAAGTCCCCAAATTCCAAAATTTCGCGGAGTTCCATGATGTTCCAACTAGGAAGCCCTGGACCATCCCTGGACCATCCTGGACCACAGGCCCCTGCGCTGGTCTTGGCCACGGCAGTGGTGATGTTTTGCATCGCTTATCCCTTGGGATTGGCCACTTCCGCGCACCTTTGTGGTGCCTTGGAATGTCTGGAAATGTTAGGATGCCACTGGGGGTGAAATGGTGCGAAGTTAGTGTATCTACATTCAATATTTAGTTATATAACTATATCTAACATCTGATATTTCATATCTGATACTATGTAATATCTAATGCTTTCCAACATCTATATGTAAATCTAGTATCTAAAATCCAATACCGATACCGAAATACATATCTAATGTCTATATCTAATATCTTATTATATCTAATATTTGTTTCAATATCAATACCAATATCTATATAACTATGCACATCTATACGATACATGTGTTATTTATTTCTTCATATATATATATGGATTCATTTATCCACAAGTTCATTTGCGCATACACGTGCACGTATATTTGCATACTTGTGTGTAAGCATTTGCAACGTCATCTTTGCATACCTTTTCCAAATCACAACATATGTGCACGGCCTTAATGCGACAGGTTACGTCAGACATCTTTCGGCGCAGTTTCTTATGTCGCAGCTGATTCGTGGTTTGCCAATGGCTCTGGCCGTGACGAGCTTACAGTACCTCTTACTCAAGGCTGGAACATCCTTGGTTTTCTGTCGGGTTTAGGGGGGATATGGCATGGATGGGGAGTTTTTCTTCAAAAAATGGCGAATGGAATCAGAATTTTTCAGACTGCGGGCCATTATGGTGGACGACCACTCGCTTGTTCACCCCGATTTTCACTCGTTTTGAATGGGGGAACCCACTCATCTTCATGTGTCTCATACGAAGCAGTCCCCGGTGGCACCGGAACGGAATCCAGGCCTGGGGCAAAGCCATTGATCGGGGCGAGCCCATGGTAAACACTGGAGAGATGGCCCAGCTGAGAGGCTGAGCACCTATGACTTTCAGAAGGATTCTGAAATCTTGGTTGGCTGAATGATGCTGAATGCTGAATGATGCTTAAATGACATGTGGTGATGAACACAAAGTCTGATTCATCAATCTCTCAATGAACCTGATCGCCAAAGGCAAGGTTCAGGAGCCGGCGACCCTGCGCGCATTGACGGAAAAAGGGTCGGCAGAAGATGAGATCCGTCCCGACTGATCGGAAGTCTCCGTAGGTGTTTTGGGATAAATGATGGGGCATGATGCATGGCGATGTGACATGTTGCGAACGTTTCCTTTGGTGCTGTTGCCTCATTGGGGTCATGTCAATGTGTGTTTGTTGAAAAGATGGTACCGACACCATCCGGTTTCATCCATCAATTCAGCTGACAGGTGTTGATGACTTCTTCGAGGCAGTGGTCCTCTGTGGGTTATTCCGCGCCTGGCAGGGTAGAGAAGGGGAAGGAAATGGAAGCAAACATTGCAGTTCTGGGCGATTCTCAGGGGTAGGAAAAATATTGAAATTAGGACTAAGATGTGGGGGGAAAGGCCTGGATCTTCACACTTTGAGCTGGGTGATGCTGGGTCACCGCTGGGTGATCGAATAGCTAGGACAACCTTGAACACCGCAATCCTATGCAGGTTTGTCCATTTCAATCAGTTCATTATTTGAATAATTCATGTGAAGCACCAGATGCCTCTGTTTTTGCCACTTACTGCGTGAAATATCTACTGTAAGTACCAGCTTGCAGAGCTCACTGCACTCGCCGCAGCTCTTAGTTCAAATGCGGGCTGGAAGAGACGCCCGTACAGAGCTCCTTAAACTGAGGAGCTTGTGTCCCTTGTCTGCCAGCTGCCAGGAGTTAGGACTGGTCATGGACACCTCAAGATCAAACATGCTGAGGGTTGACATGTTGATATGGGGTTTCATTGGATTTTCCATTACAAACCACCTGTTTTGGGTTACCACTGCTTTAAAAAAAAGAAGCACCCATATCTTGCAACATCTTTACGCTTTGGACAATGTTCCCTGGCCCTTCGCATGGGATCTCTCAGGTAGAGTAGGATGTCTGCGCCCGCCTCAAAATCTGGCGCCCGCAGCGCACGCGGCCCAAAGAGGATCGACTTATCTGGTTATGGTCCGGAGCCCTGCGGGATTTGCGGGATACTGCATGACACTGCCGGATGAATTCAATGAATGCACGAAGTTACTAGCCATGAAGAGCCTAGTTAACTAGTTACTAGATGTTACTAGCCAGTCTTGAATTTCGAAGGGCTTCTTGATACCAATGGCCAGATGTCAGAATTAACATGTCTGGTGATCTTCTGCAGGAATTTGACGTTTGGCATGAGCAGATTCCGATGTTTTCCATGCCATGCTTGGTCCATGGTCCATCATGGTCCCAGGTGCGCCCTTGAGCGCCAGGGGGACTTCAAGTGACAGGGGCCCATCTAAGATGCAGACCTTGCCCAGTGGCTTGGAAGAAAACGCTGCCATGGAGCCCAAAACTGAACCGTTTTTGATGATGGGTTTTATATGATTTTTATCATGTTTTATCATGCATTTAGGGTGGCTTCATGTTGTTTATATAACACAATGGTGATGGTGGTGGTGGTGATGATGATGATGATGATGGACGATGATCATGATTCATGATTCATGATTGATGATAATGATGATCACAACTGGCCGGGCAATGGCAGTTGCCAAGTCAATTTTTGAATCCTTTGATTCTATCATGGGCATTTTTAGAAGGTTTGCAGGGGCAGATCTGGATTTGATACTATTTGTCAACCATCCGCAACTGATAATGTAAATGAGGTCATTCAAGATTCTACCCAAGTGAGTTTTTGTTCTCCATGTCAGTTTGTTAGTTCATATTCCAAACGGGAGTGTCCACACTTTCTATATCCATTTTGATGATTCAGGAGCTTTTCTGCTGGGATCTGCCATCCTTGGACGCAGGGACTGTCGGTCGTCTTCCAGGTACCATGACGACCTCCTCGCCTAGTCGGGAGAAGCGGAAACCCAGTGAGGTGCACACTGAGTGGGGTCAGCAGATGTTCTTTTTCCTTCAAATCATATGTTTACATCAAGGAACACCATGGAACATCTTAATTTTGAGTTGTTTCTTTGTGTTTTTGATTATTTCTCGAAGATTTTTAAACATCTCGTCATGTTCACCATCCAAATATGATCGGTTTCCTGTGAAGTGGCCCAAGTCTGAAACATTCCTCACCGGAAAAAGGGTGCACCTGGTTTCTCGGACTGATTCCTCAAGGTTGAGGTATCAAAGTATCTGCTTGGTACCATTTGGCGCCTCAAAAGTTTCCAGGTGATAGCCGCAGCACGACAAACTGGAGGACTCATAACTCTCGAACGCCAGGAGAGGAGGGAAGTTCGGTTCTGGGCTGCAGCCATAGCGTTGGTCACTTGGGAGGTAGCGACCACTGGGGCAGGACATGGCTTCAACGAAAATCGTTTCCTTCCAGAACATGAGTGACTTCACCCATCAGGCGGGACCAGGATGTCGCGAGGTTGGGCGAATGCATTGTGAACTATCATGCAATGCTTAGCAGATCCTTGGAAGGACACATGAAAAGGGGATGGAGAGATACAGTATCAGATAGTCCAAGCAGCTTCAAAAACCTTCAACTCATCACATCGTTCAAATCAGCCTCGCAACAATAGAGGCACATGTTTACTCAAGTCTCGCTGCCTTACTTGAGAATTGCAGCCCTTGTTTTGCTTTCACTTCTCCATTTCCACCTAATAAACCGCTTGGCATGATCACAGATCGATGATGGGAATCCAATTCTTCAGATGGCAGCATTTGACAAAAAACAGTCTCAAGAAATCCACTAGAAATGCCATCTCCTCTGGCCCAAAACTGGCCGAAAAAAGCATCCTGGACTCACCGGCAGATTTCCAGACTTAGGTGGATTCCGTCGTGCCCATGGACGAGCCACTCTTCAAGGCGACGCCCTCTGAGATCCGCTTTGCCAATTTTGTGTCTCGGCCGTTGGTTCCATCCCTTGGAGTGAAGGTGGTTCTTTTTTGGGGGGTAGTGGTAGGGGCTTAGAACGTTCAGGTTTTTCATTGCAAAATTGCTACAGGGTCAACTCTTCCCTGAAATTTCTGGAAGTGATGAACAATTGTATGCCAAACCGGCCCATACCGGCCCTGTTTTTTTTGAAAGACAAGCGCCGTCACGTACAGCTAATAGTGTTTTTGCGGTGGGGAGGCCTGGGCTTAGCATGGCTTGACTGGGTTCTGGCTCTTAGGAGAGTTTGCAGAACCTGGATGCCACTCTGAACTTGCGCAATCAGGACAACGTGGCAAGAAGGGTGCTTTGGTTGCAGATTGCTCCCGTGCTGCTGCCGTGGACTGGGGTCAAAATTTGGAGTCCGAAAGGCGCCCGGACGACTGAGGTGAAAATCCTGCAGCCTGACAGCACGTTTTTCAAGGTTTTGCCTGGCAAAGGGCGTAAACCTGATCAGACTGACAACAAGGCGGGTTGAGCTGAGGATGGTTAAACTGGGGATGAGGAAGGATGGAGAAACATATGGGGAAAGATGGGAACATGAAGGGTAGGGAGTTGGAAAATGGTGGAACACAAGTATAGTAGTTGCCAGTTTCAGACAAGCAAAAACAATCAAAAGCAACTTTTGCAGTATGGTTTATGGTTTGGCCAAGCTGCTCAGGTCTCTAGTTTTTTTTTTTTCGAGTGTATGTTCTGCGAGTGAGTGGAACTGAGCAGATATCAGTGTTCTGCCAGCTCCCGTGGATTGAAACTAGAATTCTGAGTGCTATTTGTTTTTGAGATGAGAGTGGGTACCAATCACGAGGACCCAACCCTGTCACCAACTTGAAACTCGCAAATACAGTCGTCAAAAGTCAGTGCCAGGCAAATACTGGTGCTTTATAAGTCCAGATCGGAGGAAACCATATAAGTGCAGAAGGGAGGAAAACAACAAAAATTGTCGAGCTTCCAGGAGGATGCAGATATTTGATGGTAACATGGCCATGCTAAACCCTGGATTTTGCATCGGATGGTGGCAACTCGTGAGGTTGCTCCTGGAATGGAGGTCTCCTACATAGTCACTGGGTAGCAAGAGTTTTGCCCACGAAGTTGGGACTATCGTTCAAAGGTTCCCACATTCAGTTGGTTTTCACTTGGAGACAGGTGCACCGCGGGACAGTCATCTTCACCCCTTGAGCAGCTTTCTGTTGAGGTGCGTTTTACACCAGATCAGCAGGCATGGCTGCAGGAAGATCGGTGCGGAGATGATTTTCAGAGCTTGAATCATTGGATGGAACTTGGATGCCATTGGATGCAACTGGCATCGTTTGCGTCGTCATCATTGGGGTGCATAGTATAGACATGTATAGACGATATATGATTATATATATATATATATATACATACACATACATGATATATATATATATATATATCTGTGTGTGTGCGTGTTTAAGTTTGAAGTTGTTTAAATCCTGCAGCAGCTGGAGATCTTTGAAGTGGTGCGCAAGAAACCTACTCCAGAAAGCTGAGATGTGACTTGCTGGTCGCAGGTCGAAGACTACTCTTATGATTTGGTGGTCATCACAGAGTCTGAAGCCCCAGATTTGCCACCGCATCCGCGCAAGTTGGAGATGTGGGTCCCAGTTAGAATCACCAATTTCGGCCATGTTATTCACCGACTATGAATTCATTATAGTATATCCTGATCATTACCACGGCGGTACCTATAGCATCTAATAATATCTACAGTAATATTGATATATATATATATATCCTCATCATATCCCCATTATTATCCCCATTCTCACCACATATAACAACTAAGGCAACCATGATCCATTTCTGCCCATCCTCCAGGTGGCTCCCCCCATTCGCCGCCCTGGCGAGGCGTGAGCGTTTCATCGTTCCCATCCGCGCCACCGGGGGCGGGGCGCTGCTGGACATGCCGGACGAGGTGGACTTCGGCTTGTCACCGGTGAAGTACGAGGCGCCCAAGACCATCATGGCAGGGTGCCTCAGGGGTAGATGGGCTGATGCTCGTGGATGGATGTGGATGGATGAATGGATGGAAAACACAGAGCTATGAATGGAATGATGAATTTGAAAAAAGGCCTTTGTTGGACTGGACATTTTTACTGATCTCCCATACGCTATCACATCATTTCTTCGGTGAAAGTTGGAAAGGTCTTCATGTCTGGATCGTGCCCAAGGTTCGCAATGTTGGGGAGAAGCCAACCAAGTTTTTACTGAAAGTCTTGACCTCGGAGGGGCGTTTTTTGTCGACTACTAATAGAGTGGTTGAATTCCCTGAAAGGATGGTCATAGTGTCATAGTGCTATCACAAGTCACAACTTCAAGTCAATTGGATCTTTTTTTAGATTGGGCATAGGCATCCTGCATGTCTCAGTCCAAGTCGAACTCACTTCCTATTGATACCATGGTTCAATGAAAGATCCTGGACATGTCAGCTGACTTGCAGAGAGTCACTGATGGATCAAGAGCGACGCTGAGAATCCGAGGGCGAACCATTTTCTGGGTTTGTTTGAAAAAAATGTGCACTTCATATTCCAACAGGATCCAATAGGATGATCATCATTTCCCCAACTTATTTGTGGAATATCCAACCAGTTTTCAGAGCAACCCCAAGAGCGCTGCGGCGTTCTTCAGCTGCAAGGGTTCCTGTGAGGTGCCAGCTCCCTTCAGTTCGTCCATTCAGGATGGTTACTTGGAAGTTGGCGAGATCATGCAGGCGCCGGATGGTGGCTGAGATCTAAGCGAAATCACTCATGGATGATATGTCAGTGATATGTCAGTGATATGTCAGTGATACTATAGCTAGCTATGAAAATATATGTTTTTTTTTTTTTTTCGGAAGAATTTTTTCTGGGACCACTTTGAAACTCCACGGGTTGATCATCGGGGAAAAACCACCCCGACCGGTGAAGGTAGATGTGGTCTTCCGACCTGACAAGGCGGAGCCTTACGAGTCACTCAGCTTGGGCAAACAAGTCATGGAAAGACATGGAACGTTGGATAAAGCCTGGAAAAAGCCATGGAAAAACAACATTAAAAAAAAACGTGAAAAACATGGGCAGAATCTTCCGGGATTTATGATTTGGAGATGATTTGATCCTCCCAAACGGTGCATTTCCCGGAGAGATCATCTGTAACAAAAAGGATCCGGTGACTTAGCCGCTAAGGCGAGAGATGCTGATCATCTACGGTGATGGTGTGGAGACATATGTGACACTGCGGGGCAGAGCAGAGAAGCGTTGCTGCATTGGCTCGTTGGGGCATGATTTGATGATTGCAGGGAGTTTTCGTCAGAAATGTGGTAAACCATGGTAAACCCAAAGCCATACTATCTCCAATAGAAATTCTGTATGACATTGGGTATTTTAAGCAAAGATTCTTTGGGATGATTTTTAAATAATGGTGCAATAGGTGGCTGATAAAAGATCCCAATACATTCCCCCACAGGTATTAAACAACGCCGGACACAATGTTGGATTGAATCTTTTGGCAGCCCACATGGGGGGATCTGCTCAACCGAGGAATGTCAATGTCACCTTCTCAGCAGCTTGGCTTTTCAATGCCATGATGCCACGGGAATCACAGTTTAGCTCCGCAGCTTTTCCTATGGGTCAACCATCACAACCGAAACAGCACACCCGAATTGCCGTTTTCACCCACTTTTCTGGTACCTCCTGTACTGTAACAATTCAGCCACGTCCTCAAAAAGACGGAGCGGGAAAGTATAGAAACTTGAAAGGGGGGTGTTGGATGTTCCGTGCGCAGGCAACCCAATTGCAGTTGGAAGATACCTTCATCGCTGCTTGGCGAATTTATCGATGCACTATTGTGATGATATATGTGCATTCTGGCTACAAATTCAATCCGCGAAAAAAGGGAAGAAGAGCTAAGAAGATTAAGAAGAGCATGTTGTCACTTTGTGGTGGGAGCTATGTTCCCTTAGAGTTTTGCATCTGAGTGCGCGACAACAATATGGCAGAAAAAACACACCTCAGATTTCAAGCTCTTCGGAGAATCAAGGCCCTGTCCACCCAGAAGACCATTGTGATTCACAACAACTCGGAGATTCCGGTGGACTTTAGCTGGCGTGCCTTCCCATCCATCCAGGAGGAAATTAGTCAAAAGCTGAAGCTGCAGGTGCGGTGATGATTTCTTGGGCTTACGAGGTTGATGCATTGCTGGGGCCTTTTCTGTTGTGATTGGCTGATTGGTATTTCAAGAGCTAGGGCCAGTTAGGGCGTCAAATTTGCATGCAGCTGAGGGATCTGACGGGCTGTGGCAGGTTCAGTTGAAGCAAGAAGAAGCGGAAGAAGCTTCGGCAATTCAAGATTTGCGTTCCTCTGGTAGTCGGGCTCTCAAAAGCATCAACGAAGGGCGTGCGACGTTTCGGGATCTATAAAAATGAGTCTCAGACACTAGGTCCCAAGTGCTCCTGGACATGAAATGGATTGAAATGTTACAGAAATTCATGCAGACCAATTTAGATACGCAAGATGCCAGGATGCCATAGGATGCCAACTATAGGTATGGATAGATATGGTGTCAGGATGTTCAGCCAAAATGCTGACGCAGGCATCGAATCAGATGTGGAGTCTCAGCTCAGTGAATCCTCCGATGAATACAACACCAGAGGTGCATCGTGCCCCAGCTGACTGATGGCTGACTTGGATGATTGGATTTACCCTCTGGTAAACCAAGATAGTTATGGGAAAATATTGGGGAATCACCATTTCCAAGAGGTAAATCAACAATGGACCATTTTTCTATATTAAATCACCAGGGAGCTTGTGAATTATCATTCATTTGTCGTTGGATTTCATGCCAGGGATCACTTGCTGCAGCAGCTGGATGGATCTGGATGCTGGTTGCGCATATTTTCCCATTTTTTCAACCAAGGTTGAGGGACACGGAGATGGCGCAAGGCGCGTTGCAGCGAAGATTCTGAGCTGCGCTTGGGGGATGGCAATGCGGGTGAAAAATATGCCTTGATGCTGCGGAGAAACTGGGTAACTGGATCTATTGGTAGCGGCATTTTTGGTCCTCCCCTTCCAAGATCTTCAGCTTACACATGCATTTTTTTTCTCATCCCGTGATCAAGGATGGCTGGTTGGAGACTTGGTTCGGTGGAGCATTTCACTGAATGAATTGGCCACTGAGGATATAAGAACATCGCCAAGGCAATTCTGGAGGCTTGGGGGCTCCCAATCTGCCACAAGGTCTTAGGGTTCCTTCATCCTTCACCCACCACTGACCTCATTTAGTTAGGAGGGAGCGGGTTGGAGCTCGGGGTATCCATATTCCCCACCCAAAATGGGAAGCTAAGGAGCTACTAAGACAGCTCTCAACCACATGGCAGTTTGAGAAAAACCTGAAAAAACCAGCTATAGCAGCTGAGTTCTTTTGGGCGCCCCTCACCAATCTGGGAGGATCCCATGTTCTTCTATGATGAGATCTTTGCGGTGGAGCCCCTGTCCGGCCGAATCTGGGCCAAGTCCAAGATTGCCATCACCTTCACCTTCACGCCCAAGGTGCTTCCAGCTGGGATGAACGGACTTACCAAGGGAATTCGACGATTTTTCTTCCAGTTCTTGACTCAAAACTCCCTGAAGGACTTGCGGATAAATATGATCAAATGCCCGGTGATTGGTTCAACTTGGTTCAACTGTTCAACTTGATTTCATTGCCACTCTACTTCCAATGAGTTGTTGGTTGCATGGGGACGGGGAACTTTCCAGGCCGCATTGAATTATCAATGCCTGGCGTACTGCTCGGTGGTGGGCCGCGCGGAGCGATTGCCATTGCTTCTGAAAGGCAGGGACCGGCGAGCCTTCGTTCCGTGCCGCAGTCTTTGACGGCTCATCGATCAGTGCCAGTTGTATTGAAAGCCGATTTTAAAGTGATCTTGGGAAACATATGTTACCCTCTGGTAAACCAACGTAGCTTTTGAAAATGGTGATTTTCCATAGTTCTGTGAGTTTACCAAGAGGGTACCTACTTACCTGTTGATCTCTGAGTGGCTTCCCATATTTTGGTGTGGACAGGGGCTCCCACATAGTAGGCACGCCGAAAATCGCCGAAAAAAAACAAAACAACGTCGACGAGGCACGGGGATCGGGCCGAAGGCCGCTTTCTCCTATGATGAGCTCGACGTGGGAGACATCTTTGTAGAATCGGTACATCAATATGAGGCCTGGGCAAGCTGTATTTCCCAGGAAGTTCAGGGGCAAGTTGGGAGAAGAATCCGAGGTCTCCATCTGAGGTTTCCAAAAAAGTCATGGGGGTACCCTCCAAATCATCCCAAATTCCAGTTCTTCATCCATTTTCATATGGGATTTTCCGTGAAATAAACCATTTAAACCCCAGTTCTCATCCATTTTCATATGGGATTTTCCGTTATAAACCATCCAGCTATTGGGAACCCCCAATTTTCGGACCCCCCCATGTGGCCGTGCACGACAGGTGAATCTGATCAACCAGGGAGACATCGAGCCTTGCCAAGTTTTTTTTTGGGGGGGGGTGTCGTAGGAAACTGTTGCTGGGGATTCATGGTGATTTAATGGGATTCAATGGTGATTTAATCGTGATTTAATGGTGATTCATGTGAGTTGACCCACAGATTTTAGGCATTTTACTATCCTTTGGTCACCTGTAGTGGGAATATAAACCAACAAAGATCGGGGGGAAACCACCTCAGGGGTTCATTGAGAAAGTTGAAGTCAGTGCTCTCACTGAGGACGTGGAATTTCGACTGGCTTTGAGCTTAGGCATTTCACAGTTGATCTGGCTCTGATCAAGATCCTTCCCGTGCCTTTGGAAGTGGATGATAACCATTGATAACCCCAACCTGGCCAGAGGCTTAAAACTTGGCTAGCTGGAATTGATCACTGGGATTAAACCTGGCCATCTGGGAGTTGCAAAGTCACTTACAAAAGTATCAATTTGGGTCCCTGTTGCAGGTTTCCCTGGATCAGTGGCCGGTCACCAGCCATGTTGGGAGCCATGGGCTGAGGTGCCAAATCCTTCACCTTTCGGGTCAATCTTCACCTTCACTCCCTCCGATGGATGTTTGGAAGTGGGTGGCCCCCTGTCAAGATTGGTGCGGCCGGCGAGGGGTGCATGAGTCAATCCAGTGGGTTGACTTGACAGTGAGTCATGTTGAAGCTTTGCGTTGGACCAGAACTTCGATGCTGAACATCTGCCAGGCCTCTTTCAGGACTTATTTTACATAAGCTACATAACATCCTACTAGAAATCGGCTATCTGCATGCCTATCATCATTCCACCCAGGTGAATGCACCATAGTGGTGGAAGTTTGCCCAAGTCTCAGCACAGAGGGTCGGCTCATGGAGGGTCGACTCATGGAGGGGTGCCAGCGATTTCGGGGGCCCAATGAGGTCCAGATTTACTGGGCGAATTTCAGGAGGTCTTCTATTGGGAGCTGGTGGGTCACTTGGCAGCCGAATCTCCTGATTTCCGCCAAAGCCAAGGTGGCTTTTAATGGAAGAAACACATGGGATGGGTGACAAATTATCCCAAATCTGTTTAGATACGTGTTTTTTTTGGAAGACGCACTTTTGCGAAGGCCACTAGTAGTACTGCAAGGATTGACTGGGACAGCTTTCGCCTTCGAGAGCATACAGAAAGAGAGAGAGAGAGAGGGATGAACTTCTCTTTTTACTTCAAGTCCTGGATTATCTGTGTTTCTTTGATTGTCTGGATTATCTGTATGCTGATGATGATGCTGATGATGATGATGATGATGATGATGAGGATGAGGTCACCACCACGGCCATCATCACAATCACTACCCACCTCCCATTGCCAAAGCCCAGGTAGCACCTCCAAGATTGGGCTCAGCTTCAGGGGTCACTCTGTACCTTGGCAAATCATCCCTGAACCGCAACGCCGAAGGTAGCATCGACATACATCGACCAGGCCAGAGAATGTATATGTCCAGCTGTCACATCCAGCTGTCACATCCCAGACGATTTACTTGGATTGAAGAAAGGCTCAATGTAGGATCCTAAAACCAGAACCTTTTTACTTCACGGGTATTTTGCAGCCTTTTTTGGGGGTTCACTTTGGCCCCGATGTTCTGGTTCCAACAAACTGAACTGAATCCAATAGCATTTTCGAGGTCTCGCCCACCTTCCACTTCGACTTGGACCGGATCTCCTTTGGGGTCGTCAGCTATGGCTTCCTGAACTCCAAGACCCTCACCCTGACCAACACCTCAGAGGCCAACTTCGGTAGAAGTGTCGAACTGAACCTTGAGGAATTCCAGGGATTTTTGGGATGTGGGAAGCATTTCAGAATTGTATTTCAGCAGAGAGATGTCTTGACAGCATTTAAACATATTTAAAAGCTATGATTTGATATGAATTTGACATTTTGACGTACTGTTTTCATGACCCATTTCCAAATAATGAATCCCTGACATGCAAAGACGCATCATGGCATCATGGCAGCTGGTGACAATGACGAGGTGCCAATGAGATTCGCACTGCGGATCCCTGGCGATGGACGCTTTACGCAACGACGCTTGGGTCGGCAGTTACCTTCTGGTAATTTAATGTAGCTATTCAAAATGGCCCTATTCAAAATGGCCCACAATCATAGTTGATGTTTCCATTAAACATGGTGATCATGGTGATTTTCCAGTTCGTTATTTGATAGTGTTCTCCAGAGGTCAAATCATTGGCATTTTTCATTCATCAAAGTTTGACATCCACCGGTCACGGAGTCAGCGAGGCGAATTCGATGTCATCCCGCCCAAGGGCACGTTGCTGCCCAACTGTGCGCAGAAGGTGCAGATCGATTTCGTCAGCCGCGGCCTCAGGAATCGATCAGCAGCCAAGGTTAATCGGTTAATCCACTGGAAGAGCATCATTTGGAATATGTTGGAAAGGGTTAGGACATGTTAGGACTATGGACCCGAAGAAGTGGATATAGAAATGGTTCGAATTGGCTGTATTCCTATGGTGTTATGATCTGATCGCCATGATATCCATGGATCATCACGGCTCAGGCATGAACGTGAAGTCATATGACCTCTGCTTGGTGGTGGATCTTGATGGTGTGGGCCAGGCGGGCTATGGGCTAGTGGGCTATTTGATGGTCTCTATCAGCTATCATCAGCTGGTTGGAAAAGAATGTGGGGAAATCCCAAATGATTCACCTGCAACCAATCCCACAAACCATGACTTCCCAAGCTAATCATGGGGTCACCATCTACAACACCAGAAAAAATTGAGTTCGCATTTATTTGGCGGATTTTGTTGGCTGTTTTCCATAAACCCAGGAGCTGGCGAGTATCCCGATCCAAGCGCGTTGTGCGGTGACGCAAGTGGCACTGGAACCGGCGGAGCATGTGGACTACGGTGCCCTGGAACCGCGGGGAAGGTTAGGGTCAATTAAGGAGGGAAAACCATGGGGAAAATCCATGAACAATACATGAAAAGTCAGGCAACCAGCCACGAATCATAGATTTTGAGTATCATCACTCTCATCAGGTTACGGGGGAAAACATCTATGAACACATCAGCTCTTGAAATGCGTATTGGAGAGATCTTTAACCACACATTGCTTGTGGTTTAGCCGTGTGGCGGCTGTTGGTTCACCCTTTTTTCGGATCCCCTGGCGGTCTCAGGGGATATCTTCATCCGCTATCCTTCGCATCAGACCATGGCGGCTCGGAACAAGTTGTGTGGTGAATGTGGCAGTCACCGAAAAGGGGCACCAAGTAGGCCCAATGAGTGGCCCCAAGAACTCATAAACAATTGGAGTACCCTCTGGTAATTTAACATAGCTATTGAAAATGGCCATTTATAGTGGATCTTCCCATGAAAAATGGTGATTTTCCATAGTTATGTTAGTCTACCAGAGGGTATTTTTTTCTACCATGAAATCGCACTTAGATTCTTGGATCATCACCACAAAACTGACCAGTCCATTTTCGAAGATTCTCGTCCTTTGAGGTGTTGAACAACACATCGGCTTTACCTGCCAAGTTCCAGATTATGCCTCAGGATGAGTCGACGACACTTGGCACCAAGGATTACAACACCTGGCGAGATCAAACCTGCTACTTAAAAAGTATACGTTTGACTCACCAAGGATTGTCAAATTCTTATGTTGGGACTTACCCTCTGATTATTCAACATAGCCATGGAAAATCACCATGCTATTAATAGGTAAACCATCTATTTCTATGGGCCATCTATACCATGGCGAACTGTTAGTCATAACCAGAAAATAGATGGTTTACCCAGTGAAAAATGGTGATTTTTCCATAGTTATGTGAGTTTACCAGATGGTATATCCTATTAAATCCCATTAAATCCCATTAAACCACCATTAAATCCCATTAAGTCCCATTAAACCACCATTTGGATGGTTCTAGGGGATGCCCCCCCCCAAAAAAAATGTCGTTCAGTTGTTGGTGAGGCGAGCGATCGCGGAGTTCGAGCCGGATCAATCCTTTGGTTCGGTTCCCCCGTCATCCTCACACGCTGCCCTGCTGGAAAGTGGACACGTCGAAATGTCGTGGAAATGCTCGGTGAAATGCTCGGTGAATGCTCGGTGAATGCTCGGTGAATGGGGGATTTTTGAATGATTTAAGCCTCAACGTCCATCAGCATCCATCAACATCCATCAACATCCATCAATATCCATCAACATCCATCAAGTAAATGGAGGTTTTCACCATCGAAAAACATATTATTTACAACTCTCCATTGTGTCATCCAACATTGCGGGCTGGAAAATGCCGGAACTACCTGGAGGTTTCTAGCTGGGAAAATGATCTGTTGCAAGCCGGGGGTGATTCTCCATTGCCATGTTTGATCTCCAGAGGGTAGCAGAGGTTTTTGCAGCTTGGATCAGGTTGGATAGATATTAGCTGGATTTTTGAGTTGATTTCTTTGCACTGTTTCTTCTCAAAAAATTGCCAGCTTGCTGCACCATGGTGTTTCTGTGCTGTATCTTAAGTGGTATCCCTGCTCCCATCCTGCTCCCTTTTATCCCAAAGATTTTTACCACCCCTTTTTTCCCAATCACTTGGTGATCACCTGTATACTGGTTTTATACCCCAGTTCATAAACCTCTACTGGGGATACCCTCTGGTAAACTAACATAGCTATGGAAAATCACCATTTTTAATGGGTAAATCCACAATAAATGGCAATTTTCAATAGCTATGTTAAATTACCAGAGGGTATATAGTTTATCTTGTAGTTATTCCATAATTATCCAATATTCTACCACTATATAAGTCACTATCAACCGATTTTCTCCTAGCAATATTTTACGATATCCCATTGTCATTATTGTCATTATTATTCTTATTGCTATTGCTGTGGCTATTGCTATTACTATTACAAATATTGCCATGTCTATTATTATTGCTATTCATTCCCCACCTGCCAGGTGAGGGTTGTTAGATTTTATGTCAGTTGCCTCCTCCTGCCTCGTCCTCCTCCTCCTCCTCCTTCTCCTCCTCCTCCTCTCCTCCTCTCCTCCTCCTGCTCAACCGCGACCCTCGACCACAGTGGTCTCTGTCGGACCTCAACCACGACCATCCACGCCCAGTGTTCCCTGCCGGACCTCAACCACGACCATCCCCGCCCAGTGTTCCCTCCCGGACGTCAACCACGACCATCCCCGCCCAGTGTTCCCTGCCGGACCTCAACCACGACCATCCACGCCCAGTGTTCCCTGCCGGACCTCAACCGCGAGTATCCCCGCCCAGTGTTCCCTGCCGGACCTCAACCGCGACCATCCACGCCCAGTGTTCCCTGCCGGACCTCAACCGCGAGTATCCACGCCAAAAGATATGCCACATAGAGTGCCAGAAGATATGCCAGATAGAATGTTAGAAGATATGCCAGATAGAATGCCAGAAGGTATGCCAGATAGAATGTCAGCTAGAATGCCAGAAGATATGCCAGATAAAGTGCCAGAATGTTTGCCAGATAGAATGCCAGCAGATTTGCCAGATAATATGCCAGAAGATATGCTAGATAGAATGCCAGATGGAATGCCAGAAGATTTGCCAGATAGAGAAGATATGCCAGATAGAATGCCAGATGGAATGCCAGAAGATATGCCAGAACATATGCCAGAAGATATGCCAGAAGATATGCCAGAACATCTGCCAGAAGATATGCCAGAACATGCCAGAAGATATGCCGGTAGAATGCCAGAAGATATGCCAGATAGAATGCCAGATCGAATGCCAGAAAATATGTCAGATAGAATGCCAGAAGATTTGCCAGTAACAAAATGTATAAATGTCATGGTGGGGATCACACGAAGTAAAGTAATTTTAATATTGCTATTTTATTATTATTGCTATTATATTATTATTTTATTATGATCATCATTCTTATTATTGGGTTTACCACGTTACTCACATTTCACACTCAGCCTCACTCAGCTTGGCTCACGAGGTTTTGACGTTCACTCTGACATCGCAAGTGATTGGCACGCTGCAGATTCCCATTACACTGCGCATCCTAGGGCAGAATTCCGCCAGCATCTTGGAATATGCTTGGGATATATGTTCACCCTTTGGGAATCAAACGTGGCTGGCTGGAAAATCCCCGAACTCAATAGGGAAGTTAGGGGATTTTCCAGCCACCATTGATTTACAGAGGGTATGGAACATCCCCAAGGGTTTCACCCAAAAAAAGTTCCCAAAAAGAGCCACAATCTTTGGTTGGTAGGGTTCAGAAGCAGCCGATGCTCATGTAGACGGCAATTTTGGGCAAGAACAAACTTGGTAGTTTTCTGAAGTCCAAAGCCCTTCTAAATTATCTAAATTGTTTTTGGCATCCCGCCAGTTTGTTTCGGAGGAAATGGTTGGCCCAAATTCGCCCGTCCATCCCCCAAGATGATCCAGATGGTCAAGGGAAAATATACAGCTTTCCGGTCCATTTTTGATAGTAAAGCCCACCTTTATCGATTTTTGGCATGGTATGGCATGGTAAAAGCCAGGGTTTCCCAGGAAATTTGATTTTGATCGCCAACACCATTGGGCCCATTGTCACGGTCGAGCCGAATTTGGTGGACTGGGGAAACGCTCATTGCCTGGAAGCCATCACGCGATCGGTTCTGGTCAGCAACAACAGTGTGATCCCAGCCTCTGCCCCTTGGGAGAAATCTGCGATGGCAAAGGAAGTCTCCAAATGAGTTAACCACCCGTTTTTTTTTTTAAATGTGGGGGTTTCAGCCATGAAAACGATGGCAATAGGGGTTGTGACTCTATAGAATTGAGAATTGACGCTATGTTTTTTTTTGGGCGTATGTGGGGTTATACCATCCAATATATTTGGGACGGATATTCATATAATTCCATGATCGAAAATCATGGAACTCCTACTCACAATGATGGGGTGCGATGGGGAAATTGAATTGAGTCGCTCAACAATAAGCCGAGAAAAATCGTGGTTTGCGAGTCCCTGCATGGGATGAATCATGATAGGTTCCTTTGATCGCTTGTGTGGTTGACATGTGGGTATGGCTTATGGCAGAGAGTCCCGCATGGACGCACTTCCCACGAAATAAGTTATAACACGATAAATCCATCCCATACCCAAATGCTAGTACCGCGACAAATCCCTCCTTTCTATGGTTCCATGATTATCATGATTGATTGAATATGACTTTGGGATCCCACATCAATACCCTTCCCCGAGAAAGGAATCCATATTGTTTGTTCCCCACGTCTATGGTTGAGAGCTTTTTCATTTTTTGTATGGTTGAGACTTGGAACTGATTTTTTTTGAATCCGCATGATATATCCGTATATCCCCACGTTTTTTGCTCCAAACCATTGAACTCATTGAAACCAACCTGTTGGAACTCCAAAGTATGCTTGATTTCCCAGTTTGTTTGCTATATCCCTATGACCCTATGATATCCCTTGACCCACCGTGAGATCCGGTGCATCATGAAGAGCAAGAACAGCCTCTGGACTTTGTCGCCCAAAGCTATGGAACTCCCACCGCATGGGTCCTCCACCTTGTTCCTCGGCTGCTTAGCAGCTGCAATGCTGCTGTGGAGAAGTTCCAATGTTGTGCGAGCTGGCTGCGGTTTGGAAGGCACAATGGATGCCGCGATACTTATACAACACCCAAACAAATTGGTTTACCAATTCAGTGACCCTTGTTCATATGGATTGACAGTTACCCATCAAAGACTGTCACTTGTGAGAACTTCATGCTTACCGTCCCGTCATTTCACACAACTATGGTTAAAACACGATTTTTGGTTAATCAAGGAACTCAACGTGCCATAGTGTCCAGTTCGCAAACTGCAACAAATGACCAACCCCCCATCTAGTTCGATGCAAACCTCTGAAATGACTAATCCCCTGGTAGTTCGATGATTTTCCCATCTATAAAAGTTCCATAGAAAACCATTTAGTTTGGGGATTCCCCATGGAATTTTACAAATTTATGCCCATAGTAACCCCCCCAAAAATATAGATGCCTAACACCAGTGTGCCACCAGGATGGTAGCTGGATGATATGTTTACCTCCATGATTTCCATACACGTTTCCCGAGGAACATGACGCTGACCATCGATGAGGTCGCAAAGATGACAGATACGGTGCACGTTGCCCGGTCTTCGCTCGTTCTTTTTGTTGGCTTTCGGGTTTCGGGCCATGAAATTCCCAGTGTCAACCTGTGTTAACCCTCATTTTTGGATGGATTATTGATAGATATATATATATGATATATATATATATCTGTGTGTGTGTGTAAAATTTGTGCAGTAATAATGAGGTAAGTCAGTAAATATGTTTTTTTTTCGGCATCTTTTCCGGAGTTACTAGAATGTGAACCCAGGATTTTGCCAAACGACCCGATTGTGGGTGTTTATGGGGGATGCCACGGTTAATTGCAATTTATCAGTCACCGTGTGGTAATTACATTCAAAGAATAACACATCATTTTTGGATCTTTTTGGGTTATGGTTTGTAATATCCAAGGGGTAGTTAAATTTTGGGATCCATGGCATATGGCATGCTATTTATATATTAGATGTTCCCAACTGTAACTGGGGATACCCCAGGCCCTACCATTAGCGGCAAAGCTAGCAGAAGGAAGATGGAAATACCAGAGTCATGATGTCATGGTAATTTTTTCTTGGCCTAGTGTGGACCCTCAGAACAACTACCAATTCTGACTTCTGACTGCTTTGTTAAATATCTACAATCTTGATATGGATCTTCATGAGAAAAACTTGCTTCAGAAACCAAGCTTAAGTATTGGATCCATTGCTTAAATATTGGACCCATTCACTTTGGGTTACACACATAGGGGGTTGCCCATTCCACACATTGGTGCCATGACACCGCCGTTTTCCGGGGTCTCAGGTCATCGTGCACGAGAGTAACGATGTAGCGGTCACCGTGAGGGCCAAGGGCATTGGAACTCCCGTGATGTGTCGTGAATCGTACCCTGGCGATGTCCGGGGATGGCAGGGGAAGGGGGAATGGGTTTCCTGCTTTCCTGATGGAATTCCTCTGTGAAGCAACTGCAGTAACTCGAGTGAGTGTATTTGGATGTATTTGGCGAAAATTCGCCACCGACTTTGATAGAGACTTGCAAAAAACAACGTGACTTCGATTTTGGCCTTTGATTGTTTTGATTGATGATCACTTTAATGTTTTTCCCCCTATTCTTCCCTGTTTGTTCCCATGTTTTTGTCCATGTTCTTTCCCCGGTCCATGCTATGTCTACTGATGTGCACGGGAGGTTAGAGGTGATCGACTTCGGAACGCAGTACACCACCCAGACGCACAGCAAGGAATTTGTCATCGAAAATCGTGGACGACAGCCCCGGAAGCTGGTCTGGACTCTGGAGTTTCTTGGAGAACTTGGGGATGCTGAGATGCTGGTGCTGGAATGCACCTAGCCAAGTGGCTAGGAACATCTAGGAACCACTGGTAAGCTCCCCAACTCGCTAGTCTTTGACATCTGTCCTGGAAGCATTCCAAGATCTTTGTGCTTGGGCGCCCCACTAAAAATGTCTCATCACATTCAACTGCAGCGACATCATATGGTCAATCGGGACCTTGGACACTAGACCTTTGACTTGGGGAGCGCAGTCAGAGGGTGTCAGAATCAGTGCTGAACACGACTTGATATCCTTGATTCATGTCTGGGAAAGCCATGGAAAGCCTATCATCTTTCACAAACTGGTGAACTGAAGGGCCTGCCGTTCCTGTTACCAAAGGTCCACGGAGGCCAAAAGAAAGGAGCGAAAACTGGAGGAAGGTGACGGTTTTTTTAAAGCTGTGGCATGGGTTGGAGAGATTGGATGGAGAATGCTGGATGATAGTTCCACAGCAAAACCAACAAAACCTGGATGTTACCAGTTTGGCCAAAATTGCACGAGAAAGGCCGTGGTAGGAGGCTGCAGAATGGCCGAATTTTGACCCAAACTTATTTACTTTGCAAAAGATCATGTTGAATAGGTCATCTTGGTTGCATGATGTCCTCTCAGTGCCATAAGGGCGTAAGATCGCAGTGAAACAACCCAAGTTTCTACTTGTTTTTTTTCCGGATGGTATTGGATAAATGAAGGGGTTTTGCCCGCAATCCACTTTTACTTCTGTGTTATCACAAACAGATGGATGTGAATGGATGATATTGGATGGATTTTACCTATGGGATGATAAGCTTGGTTGGCCTCATCGGTTCTTAGCATTCTGCGCCAGCTGCAGAATGCTGAAGCGCAGGCCATCTAGATACAAAAGATCACGATCCGTGCCACTAGAAACATAAAATGATTTAATTTACTCAACTTTGTCTGAGAGGCTTACCAGGGTACCTCCTGGTAATTCAACATAGCGGAAAACCATCATTTTAATTTGAAGAGGCAATTCATCTATAAGTAGCCATTCTTCCATAGTTATTTTTTAATTTACCAGAGGGTACCCACCCCAACACCTTCGAAAACGCTGTGGGCCGTGACGTTGCAGGTGATGTCCCGGTCTTTTCGGTGGTTCCGGACACCCTGCCCCTGGGCCATGGACAGTTCCCCAGGTCTTGGCCACAAGGACAAGACCTGAACATATGGATAAAATGCAACAAACATCAATAAGAACATTTTTTTCAATATTTAAAGTGGGGAAGTACCCAGGAGAATACATGGACCAGCCGTCAACGTGCGAGGAGCTTTCGATTTATATCAAAAGTTCATATCAGAGCAGTGTTTTTGCCGCTTGGAAAGGCTTGATGACTGCAAGTGGTAGGCTTGGCTCAAAACATCTCTGACACTCTTGGAGGTGTTGGGCAATGAACTTAAAGAAACTTAAAGAGCATTGGCATGTGACACATACTTCAAAATCTGAGACTGCAGGGCAGAGACAATGAGCCAAATGCATTCTTGGATACGTGACAATCCCGAGCCATGCTCTGTCAGTTGAATGCGAGAATTCAATCATGAACACTATGGTAGTGTAACCAAATGATGCAAAATATGCATGGAAAACACCTGCAGGCAGCGAGTTCGATTCCAATATATTCCAGTGCAACCTTCCACTGAAACTGCCTATAACTCAAATTACCTCAAATTGGCGCGTGCTTCGCGGGTTTATTCCCCAGCAGAGTTTCCCATTCATTTTAGCATAGCATATTTTAGCATAGCTCTTCCCAGCTCATTTCCCATTGAGCCACCGATTTCCCCAAAAGACCAGCTGCCTGAGCCCTTTTCCCAGCCCATTTGCCATAGCTTCCAGCAATGGCAACTGGGGTGTGAGAAGCGTTCCCTGCCGGACCGCGAGCACTGCGAGCAGCGGGAGCACCGCGGGTCGCTATGTGACTGGGCTCGAAGACTCACTGAAATTGGCGGTGATGTTCTATTTTTGGATTTCGTTTCCCATAGTTCACTATTATTACGGAATCTATATACATTTTTTTTTGCTAAGTCTTAAACAAATCCAAGAAATGAAGTTGGACATTGTGCTATAAAAAAACATCATTATAAGGCGTGTTGATTTTCCACTTGTCTTTCTAGATATCTTCGGCATTTGAAGTTTCGCCCAAGTGGGATGATGGCCTCCCAGGCAGTGGATGCATGGGCCAGGGGGGCCAAGGAAACTCTTGGAGGCGCCTGGGAAGGACAGTCCAGAGTGCCAAGCGAAGCTATGTCCCATTGCCCATGTCAAATTCAGGAAAATGAAGCGCAGTGTGTCTCTGTACCCGTTGCCAACTTGCGTGCCATTGAAGTGATTCCGGGCCTTGTGGTTGGTGTTCCCTTGATGATTTGCGTTCCCTGCGCCCTTCACTGGTTCTGCCGGAGGTTGCGTGGGAAATCATGGGGCGCCAGGCAGCGACTCAGTTCATGGTACAGCCGTGTCGGAGGATTCCAGCGCCTTGAAGGCAGCTGTCACCCAATCCCCTCAGAAAGCATTTGACGAACCATCTGACGATGGCTTAGACGATGGTTTGGAGGATCTCTTCACGCCCTTGGCAACGAATCCAGCGGAATAGACGGCCACCGCGGCGGCGGAGAACGAAGCCGCAACAAGCGGAACGAGCGCCTTCCATCGTTAGCAGCGCCCTGGAGTTGGAGTTCAGTGCCACGTTCTAGCGGAAACGCAAACGAAAAGGACCAGCTGTTCAGAAAGAGACCTGGATTTGCAGGGGATGTTCGATTTTCTCAATGGTTTGGATCCAGCCATGACTGATTTGCATTCCAAGTTCTCCGAAGGCATGGCAGAAAAAGCAGGCCGCCATGGCTCCCTCGGATGCCCAGGATGTCAAGTCCAGCGCCAGTTCGGAACGAAAGCTGTCTGCCAAGATGTCAGCTGTGGGCCCGATTTTTTGGATGAGGATTTGGGAGAATCCCCCGGATTTCTTCGACGCCATCAGAAATCGCAGGCAAAGCCAATGGGAACGTCCGGGATGCCTTGGAACGGAGGGACTCGGAGGATTCCCTGGCAAGCCGGATGAGTTGTCGGAACTGTTTCACCCACCCTTGCGATGATATGGCGCCATGGCGCCGAAAATGTTGGCTGCACAGGGCTGCACAGCCCAAAAGCTTGGAGAATAGCAAGTTGGCCACATCTGAATCATTGGATTCCATCCATCCAGTTCTAAAGTTCTGAAGTTTCTAAAGGTTGCGGTTTCTAGCGTGCCCAACTCTGTGAGGATCCCATGAGGTTGGCATATCCAACATCGAGGGCTTATGAGTTTCATAGGGTCGATAGCCCCAGGCCACACCAGTACGAGTGCCTCAACAACTTAACAACTGATCTTGTTAGCATGGCTCAGCCCATTCAGCCCATGCTCAGCCCCAGTGGTAAAGGACATCACCGAGCACTTCTCCAACCATTTTTGGAGCTGATGTTGCATATAGATGTTTATAGATTTTTTTCTCCATGTTTCCCTTATAAAACCATCGTTTTGTTTTCCCGTCCGCCCCCCCTTCACCGGCAACAGCCTCAGAGTCCGAGGCTGTTGGACGGAAAGTGCGCCTTCCGCTTCATTTTCAACGCTTCCAGCCCGAGACCAGGGTCCCTGGTCGATACCTTGACCTGCAATGAGCTGCTCGGCTGAGATTTCTCAGTGGCATGAAGTCCCGTAATAAAAAGGGAAGACCGTGGAGATCAGCCAAGCCACCCAATATCACCCAAGAAATGGATATAAGATGATATAAATGGATAAACTGACTGATTGTGATATTATTTCATCATATTTCATCATATTTCATCATATTTCATCGCAATCTCGAAGGGACATGGATTGAAATGGAGGATAAAAGAATCACTTCAAACCATGTGCAGCGACGGCGCGACGGTGACGTTTGAGGCTTTGTGGAGACGATCGCAAGGGCAAGACCATCTTCAAAGCTGAGTTGAGTGGCAACTTCGTGCCTTGGTTGAGTGGCTGCTTATTGGATCGCGGTTCATGTTATTCTTATGATACTTTCAAAGTTAGGAACACGCCCAGGTGAATTGCCAAGATCCTGTTCCATATGTTCAACATCTTCAACATGTTCATTTGATTCAGCTGATTTTTTAAAATTTCTTCGAAGTACCAACATCATCCCACATCCACGCTGGAATCCACACGGCCAGAGGTGCTTCCCATCCTGCAGCTTTCGGCCACCAGTGTGTCCTTCCGTCCCGCGGCTGATGTTCTGGGGAGGCTGGCATTGAGAGTACGTGCCAAAAAAGATGCAAAAAAAACCCAGCCCAAACAGAAGCAGAAAATCATTGGAGAGGTCATCCTAGAGCTCTGAGGTTACCTGTGGGAAAGACATTGCCCGTTGCATCCCTTGTCCGAGCCCTTGGCTCTTTGGCAGCAGGTCACAGAAACATATTGTAACCGAATGTAACCATCAAGGTTGGAGGGGGCCCATCTTATAGGCCCTATGATTTATTGGAAAACTCGATAAATTGGAATGGATCTGGCGACAGCTGTGTCTTCAGGAGGGCCTTCCCCCGCTGGGATCTTTCAGAACCGCCTGTGAGCTACAGACTGGAGGTAAGAAAACCAATGGTTTTTTCCATTGAATCCTCTGGAACATCTTCTGATATTCCATGAGCCCTACGACAGCCCTACGACTGGGGTGATTTTAGTGGTTAATCCCAGTCACAGTTTTCGGTTTTTACCACACTTCTTCGGCATGGGCCATTGATCCATACCTGAAATGCCTCTTGAGGTCTTGAAGAACATCTCGCCCTTGGAGGTGCTCGGGGATTTGGGTCTTCCCCGCTAGCGAAATGGTGAATGAACCCGTGAAGCTGTTTGGATTCAAGCATATGATATGTGTTAATATGAGTTTGGATGCCTCCAAGTAGTGGAAACGTGCGAAAAGATGAAAGATGCAAACCAAACACCTGAGAGAGCGAGAGTTGCTACATTCCCTGCATCTTGAGTCATTCAACCGTTGGGACTGTGTATATTGATGACCCGATATTCTCTCTCTTTCTCTCTGTGTATAGTGTATGTAACGAGTTGTAGATAGACCAAAACAAATAGATGAATAAGTAAATATATGAATGAGTGAATGAATCAATCAATCAGTGCTGCAAGAAAGTGAATAAAGATATCTCAAGAAACATAAATGGACTGTATCATTTCATGTTTGTGACCACCGCACGCCCTGTGGCTCAAGATGATGTCTAAAGTGTGCTTCGAATCCATGGTCCGTTGGTGGTTTTGATCCAAGGATGGCTTAGATGAAGCCACTAAGGTCCGATGGCACCGGCACCAGGAGCCCGGCACAGCTTCACTTGGTTCACTGGGTTCACTTGGTTGCTGAGTGAGGGGCTTTCTGAAGAATGGCCCAAGTATAGTATACGTTTTTTTTTTTAAAAAAATATAATAACATACACTCAGATAATGCATGGGGATGTAATGTGAGGGGAAGCCCAGTGGGAACATGTGAGAACCTTGAAGTTACGGGGGCCCATGATTGTTGGGAGATGTTGGGAGTGTCACCTCCTTGGAGCCCAACGAGTTTCCAAAGAAACAGCAGGATTTGGGTGGTCCTTGCAGTCCTTGCTCTACTGCTCTCCAGCTATGGTTGGAACATGATGCTGCCAGCAGGTGTCAAGAGGCCTGGTCCGGGCTTTGCTTTTCGCCTGGCGTTCAGAATGGAAAGAGAAGTCAAGGAACATCAAGGATCCATTAATTCATATTTGGAGGGCTAATGTTTCTTCCATATAGTCATATGGTTTATAGATTCTTCATATAGTTTATAGATTCTTCGTGTTTCTTCCATATAGTTTATAGATGTTTATAGATGTTTGTAGCTACCCAGCACTTGGTGGTTCCAGTTGACTCCTCCATGTGAGGCCGGCACCCGCACCTCTGGCCATCCGGCAACGCACCAATCGATTGCGGGATCCTGAGACAGGTATCTCGGCGGGAGCCATTAACGGGCGATGACCTGTTCCAAACCTTGGAACAGCACCAGGAGAATGGAATTGGAAATGATGGGAATCATATTGAGTATTTATATATATAATATATATATATACACATAATAATAGTAATAATAATGATAATGATGATGATAATAATAAGAAGAATGGTCATGTTCCATTTGCCAGGCCCTCTACTGCACTCTGGAAATTTGACACAGCTATGGAACATCAAAAATATTTGGGCAAATCAGATGTGCAAACATATGCAAACATTCATGGAATCCACGGCTTGTTTCAAATAAAGTATCAGAGGTTTGATACTTAAATCCTGCATTTGGATGTTGAAATCTCATCCAACTTGATGTAAACTGGTTGGTGGTTTCAAACATTTGGATTATTTTCCATAATATATGGGATGTCATCCTTCCCATTGACGAACTCATATTTTTCAAGATGGTTAAACACCACCAGCCAGTAAAAAAATGCGGCTAAAATCTCCATGTTTGTTTTCACTGAAAGCCATGGCGCGGCCATGACGAAGCCACGAGATCCCATCCCCTCCATGGCTTCCTATGGCGCCCAACGAGGTTACCAACGTCCGGTGCCCAAGGAGGCAGACTTTGCACTGGACATTTTCCAGCGAACCTTTCCAGAGGTCACCACTGAGGAGGGGAAATCATTGGGAGGACACCCTTGGAAAAATTGGAAGATTAGGAGGAAACATGAGGAAACCCTAGGTTCGTAGCATGCTCTGAAAGGTGTTTTCCGAATTTTCCCGGATCTGGGGTTGGCCATGGCCAGGAGCACATTCTCATTCAGCGCTGGGAGGACATCGTCGATGTCTTTCAAAGCCCCGAGCTGGTGAATCAACTCATCGAGGACGAGCCCTCGATCCTGCGTTGGCCTCGGCGTACTGCAAGGAATGCGTTGCATTACCTGGAGATCTATCTGGGTGAAGAGGTGCTGTCAGACTGTCAGACCCCTGTGATTTTTGTGGCTGAAGTTTGAATCCAGGGGATGGAGTCATTTTTGAAAGGAATGTAAAGGTCAACATGGTCAACTATTGGGATTTGCTCATCATCCATCCCATCCATGCATTACAAGCAATCGAAATGTAGGATGTGAAGGTGCCATAGTGAAGCACAACGGCCAGGAGGCGAAAGAAGCCGTCTTCGAATGCCCCTTCCTATTGACCAAGAATGCCAAGAACATGCGCGAGTCCCTGCCGGCGTTGATCAATGTCCTTGGTTGCCCAGCTGACAGTTTTCTCTGTGGCAAGTATAGGGTTCTCAGGGTTTTCTATGTTTTCTCAGGTAAAAAAGGTGGCAATTTTGAAGATCAGCTTGCCAAATTCTGAAACGGTAAAACTCGGAAGCTTAACATTTGATAAAATTAACCTATAGCCTATAGTATAATAAAGTATAATATTAATTCATATCGTATCACACACACATACACACACATATATAATTATATATAACTATATATTTTCATATATGTATATACATGATCCAAATAATTGCAGAGATCACCGGCTGAGGATCCAAGCAGAGGCTCCAGGAGGTTATCACCAAGTACCCGCAGCTGACGAACGTCCCCATTGGTGACTTCTACAAGGCGCAGCAACGGTCGTAACGGTCGTGGTGGGCTCCTTCAACTGAGCGCAAGAAAAGGAGGCCACCGTAGGCCACCACCATTTTTGGGGATGATAGACAGTTGGGAGATGTTGGGACCAGTTTCCGCGAACATCCCAAGAATTTGAATCCCAACTCGTCCAAAAATCCGCAGGCATCCGGGGAAATCCAACAACATCGCAGCAAAAATCCATGATTTCAGGTGCTTTCCGCTGCTTTCCCCCTTCCCCCCGTGCCCCGTGGCACCCCGTCCCAGGCCATGGGTGACATGACGGCGGTGATGGGCAACCGCCAGGCAGCCCTCGACGTGGCCAAACAGGCCATGCAGCGGGTGGCGCGGTCGCCCTACGTCTCGGCCGTGCCGGGCGGCTACCCAGAGACCTGGCAGCGGAGGATGGGAAGGTGTAGGGCTGAAATGGTGGGTGATGTGGGTGGCTTATTACTGCGGACAATTACGAATATTTGTTACCCCCTGGTTATGTCAACAGTTTGCTATTGAAAGTGGCCATTTACAGTGGATTTAGCCATTAAGAATGGTGATTTTCCATAGTTATGATTAGTTATGTTAGTTTGCCAGAGGGTAGAGGGGACTATATTATCTATATTATACCAACTATAGCAAGAATATAATGAATGGGGAATGTCACAGTCATTCACAGTCCATGGGCAGGGAATCCTTCTCAACAAGCCAGTTAAAATGGGACATACCGTGACATACCTTCCAGCAAGCCATGGAAAATCCATGAGAATCCATCATCTAATAGATGGTTTTCCCCTAAGAACCTCCCCTCCCAAACTGGCGATGAATTGATATTTAGTTGGACCCCCCTAAATACATAGCGCTTTTTGATGCTTTTTGAATATTGGGTATGTTACCTCCCAACAACTGGCGAACTCAATTACATTAAATCAAGATAAGTTAATTGGAGCCCCCAATCATTGGTAAACTGAGATGGCGATGGAGAGAGAGAGAGAGAGAGAATTATTGGTAAACTATGGTAAACTATGTTTTGACCACTAAACTAGTGATAAATGAAATGAAACTATTACTGATAGTTGGAACCCCCAAACTACAGGATTTACCACTATTTAAACAGGTGGGGTACCTCCTGAAAAATAAAAAGTGAAGTCAGTTACACGTTAAATATGTTCTGAATATTACTTATTTTGCGGAACTACCCTGATGATCATTACAACGACCTCACATCGCCAGGGCACTGTAAGTGATGGTTCGTACGGGTAAGTATCCCACACTGGCTGAACTTTTGAGGTGGGTGAATGATGAAATAGTTTATCCAGATGGGTGATTGTGGATGTTTGTAGATGATTGTAGATGATTAATTATAGATGATCATATCTAGGATGACTATACAGGATAGATTATAACTCTTCTATTTTCTAACTCTCCAGATGGGTGTGGAGATCAAGGTCCTTTCCTTTGGAGCGCTCCCCAAAGGGTCTTGCCGTCAGCGTCCCAGGTGTTGATCGCCATTTTTGGGAACCTGGACGAAGCGCATCGAGCCATTGCTCGGGAACCTCTGTTGCTGAAGTGGTATGGCATCTTGCCGAAAATGCTACAACTGGTACCGTTGTACATGAACAAATGACTTTCTTAGCATCAAAAAATCACCGACTTGTGTGATTTCTTCTTGAAGATCGAGGAGATAATTCGAGATTTTTCTTTCCATTTCCCTGCCACAAGAAAAACCTAAACTTAAAATCTCCCTTAGCCCCCGAGGAGAGAACTTCCTGGGCCGCCTCGGCACCTTAAGAGCCCTGCTGGGCAGGGAGGGGGCACAAGCTGCGGTCCGGAAAGCGCCCTATCTGCTGCTGGAAGAAAACCAGTTCCTCGTTCTCAAGTGGGCAGTGGCTGTTGACCCCGTTTGGTTGGTGATAGTCACTTAATAGGGCTTTTAACCATCAACAATATCAAAATATGGGGGATATATGGGGATATGATATAAGTGATATATATATATATAACTGATGAATGATGGTTGGTTGATGATTAGTTTAAGGATTATACGAACAGTCTGTGGGGGACGATCACCCAGGTTTAGCAGCCACTGTTCAAGAAGTGATGCCATGATTTTGCCATGCTTCGACTTGGTGCTACTGGGAAGATGAAAGGATTCCAGCTGCTCCAACTGATTTGGTCTGTGTCCCTCAATCAGTTTCGGGGGTTTCCCTCAGAATTGTAGATCTTTGTATCTGGCCTCGCACATTTTCATACTGTCACGCCGCCACCAGCAACGGATAGCATCGGATAGCTGCTGAGTGGCTCTGGGATGGTAAGCCATTGTGCCCCATTAGAATAGCCTGTCGCATCCTGTCGCCTTCACCTACTTGTTGGGGGTTCCCAAATATGCCCTGCCGATTTAGTGGATCTTCCACTGGGGCAGAGGCGAAAATCCCGGAAGTTTGAGTTGGCCTTTGAGGCCATTGAGAATCTCTTCGGTCCCATGGCTACCTGGGTAGCTCTGGGGTTGGAATATTCTTAGATGATAAGAAACACCATGACACTTGGGCTTAATTATCTTGTGGGGCATCAAGCAACAAACATGGGAATATCATGGGAGATATAAGCAACTTAAGATTTGGGGTGCTTGACAAAATGAGAGGGGTATACCATTAAAACTGCGGTTTTACTTCAGCACGATGCTGTACTTCTGGGATGGCACCCGGATTTCTGTGGGATATGGGAAAACTTGTGGCCACGTTGGGGGGGCTTCCATGTTGAGCTGTTGAGAATGAGGGACGGCAACTTCGCATTCCCCGCGCCATTCGCCCAACCGTTGGTGAGGTACAGAAAAGACCCGTGAGATTGTAGGAGAACGGCCAGAACTCCTTGCATTGGGCTGGCTGCTTGATAGCAGATGGGATGGTGGAAAATCCGCCCGTGTTTCTTTTGGTCTCGGCATCTCTAAGATTTTATCATGTTGCCAAGGCCTTGGTCGTGCCATTTGGAACTTGTTTCTTGTACGTGGCAGGGAATTTTGCCAAAGTACTACCGGAATCATCATTTTGTTGCTCTACCTGTTCTGTTCTTCGGAGAAATTCTCCATCATGATATTCATGTAGGGGCTGCTTGAATCAACTTGAACCCCCACCAAATTTTCAGAGAAAATCCGTGGCCCAGCTGAGGAAACTGCACCGCGCCCTGAGATTTGCGGAGCGCCGCTTAGGGTCCCGCGAGAAGGTGCGGGACAGGCCTGGTTGGGACCTTCTATGGGTGCAAGGAGCCCACGGCATAGCCTCGGGATGGATTTTTGGGGCGTCCCGTCCCCCATTCACATGAGTTAAATAATTAAACCATATTAAACCCTCATTCTATGGCAAGTCTATGATTTCATCTCCCTACATCCACCATGATTTCAAGGGGTGTTACGAACTGGGGAAGGGAGAAGAATGATGCCCAAATGTTGGACACCCAAACATAGCCTCTGGTAAATTAACATAACTATGGAAAACCACCATTTTTCATGGGTAAATCCACTATTTCAATGGCCATTTTCAATAGCTATTTTGACATCACCAGAGGGTAGCCTCCGGCCTTCTCCGGCTGCAGATTCGACGCCATCTTGGAGCGCACGGGCTTGGCCGAGCACCTGCATTGGGAGCGGAAGCCTCGGCCGCGGAACGGCCTGTGGACGCCCAAACTGCGGCTGCCTAACGGCCACCCGGCTGGATGCTGAAACTGAGAATGGGGTCATCAACAGTTGGGGACAACAATAGGGTTGTAAAAAAAGTTTAAACATATGAAGGGGACAGTGATACTAGATGATAATAGGTTTAATAGGTTTTTAAAATGGTTTTATAATGGGCACTAGGTTGTAAGGGGGATAATGGGGATCGACCATTGTAGTGATGGGTCAACACTTTCACTCTCCTCCGATGTCATCAAACATGGCTTGTTGGCAAATCTCTCATGCATGGAGGTTGATGGCTTAAAAATGCAAGGACCTGATAACCCCACATGTTAACTTCTTCGAATAAGCACAAAACAGGTGTGAAAATGGGATGGGAAAGGCAAGAAATATAAAGGAGATGGTGGAAGACAGATTGTGTGAAAGAGTTGTGTGTGAAGGAGTTGCGTGTGAAAGAGTTGTGTATGAGAGAGTTGTGTGTGACAATTCAATATTGTGTGTGTGTGACAAAGTTGTGTGTGAAGGAGTTGTATGTCCACACTTGCCACGCAAAAACACCATGACTATCACCAATTGCCGCACCTGCTACAGAAAAGGCACGTCAATGTAAGCAAATGCCACGCCTGCCCGCACAAAAGCACCACGGCTATCACCAAATGCCACGCCTGCCACGCAAAATCCCAGCTTTCTCTCTCTAGCCTTGTTTACCTGCATAGTCGCTTCCTTCGCCGCCCTGCCTCCCACTCGTGTCTCCTTCCATGATCACTGCTTTCCCTACGCTTGTTGCCTTGTATCAAAAAAACTCCTTGTGTGATTGCTTGTCTCCCTACATGATAACTGCCTTCGCTGCCCTTGCTGCTTTGTTTTTCCTGCTTTTTGTCTCCCTTCACTCTTGTTTGTCCGGCCTCCCTCAGGTCTCCCACTTTTGTCTCTTGTCATGAGACAAAAACGAAGCATCCCACAAAAAAGCCTGCAAAGAGAAAGGAAAGAAGGAAGAGCAAAGGCATGCCTTCGCTGCCCTCGCTGCCCAAGCTGCTTGGCCCCCCTTGCCATGGACACAAGCAGATCAAAGCATGAGAGGTTTACCAGAAACATTGTAGCCAACCTACTTATAAACCAACTTAGCTAAGTATGGGGCATCACATAGTGAGAGGCTTTGGTTGGTTTATTGTCTGTTCTTTAAATTCTAGAAATGGCTCAATTAAATGGATTGGTTTAAAAGAAGATCGGCGGTTGAAACCTTGGCATTCCAATGCGGATTAGATGGTTTCTTTCACAATTTTCCACCGACCATGAGATTTAAGGTCAAGCGAATCTAAGCTGGTCATGAAGAACCCACCAATCTACGGATTATACGCTAATCTCCCTCTCGGCAATTGGATTGGGACGTTCAGTTATGAGAAGGTATGTGAGCGAAGGTTGCGAATCATGAAGTCGATTCCTGTGTTTGCACATAGGCATAACATGGCCCAGAAAATCTCAGAAAGCCCAGGCACACACTTATGTAGTCACCCCTGAAAAGCCAGCTGTCTACACCCCACGTTTCACCTCGTGAGGCTTTCCGTTGAACCACGGACCGTGGTCGCCTCACACCAACCCCTTGGGCAAGGGAGGTCCAGCACGTGGGCCCTGGAAGGATTTCGAGGAAGAGATCTCAGAGGAAGAAGTGGCAGAAATGCGGGAAGACTTTCCAGATGATGAAGTTGTGGATGATTTGGATGACTTAGATGAAGGCTTGGATGATTTGGATGAAGATGCTGTAGAGCCTGTAGCGGCCGAGATGCCCGTGGGGCACAGCGGACGCACAGTGATCTTGTGAGCCTGTGAGCCTGTTCGCGTGCTTCAAATTCCACACCAAGTAATTCCAAGTTGAATCACTTTGGATCAATTTTTGTTACCAACAGTTTTTTTTAAACTATTTTCCGGGATTTTCCAGCAAATACCTTCTTGTAGAGAGACAGAGCCACGAGTTCATTGGGCGGGAAGGGCTTCAGCCTGGTGCGGATGTTGAAGTCTCGGGGTGGCCAGCCAATATTTTGGCCACGAAGGAAAAACGAGCTGGGCTGTGGGCTCAACAACAATGTTTCACGCATCGCGGAGAAAAAATTGGACCGCAACTGGTGTGGCGGCCTTGATGGCTTTTGGGCAGGTTGGATCTAATTGGCGGTGTCAAAAATTTGAGCAAATCCATCCCAGGAATTCGACGGTTTTTTCTCCATGTTTCTGGGATAGGTTGAAACCACCAAACAGACATAAACAGACATAAACAGACATTAAAAAAGAAGCTAAGCGGCCGCCGCATGAATTTAAGCTGACAATCCATGCTGCACGTGCAGGTTCGTTTCTTCATCAAGGTGCAACCGCATCTCGGAAAGTTGGACCAATTTCCTGGGTGAATGTGATGCAAACTCCACCAAAACCCTGGGTTTTATCAGTTATTATTCAGGTGAGGGTTGTTAGATTTTATGTCAGCTGGGCGGCCGCCGCCGCTGCCGCCGCCTCCTCCTCTGCATCCTCCTCCTCCGCCTGCTCCTGCTAGATCGCAGTGTTCCCCACCGGACCGCTACAGCAACGTCTGGATCAAAGTGTTCCCCGCTGGACCTCCACCGCAAGCTCCGGATCAAAGTGTTCCCGCCGGACCTCAACCGCGAGGTCCAGATCAGAGTTTTCCCCGCCGGACCTCAACCACAAAGAACTGCTGAAGATATACCAGATAGAATGCCAGAAAGAATGTGAGAAAAAATTGAGATAGAATGCCAGCAAGAATGTCAGAATATATGCCAGAAGGTATGTCAGAATAGATGCCAGAAAGAATGTCAGAGTATATGCCAGAAAAATGGCTTCCAGATGGTACGTCAGAAACTATGTCAGAACTATAGATCCCTCGAAGAAAGTAATTTCTATTTAATTATTTTTTAAAATCGTTTTTCAATGGCACCGTATAAGCACTTACGAGTTTTTATCATGTTTCCCGGGTCATGGGGGGTCTTCTTGCAGGGCGTTGGGTTTCCGACTCGTGACGGAACCCATGGGAGGTCGCAGCAAAATCATGGATTCCAAGGTCGCTGTTTTTGTCACAGGGATGGACAGAGATGCCCCGCAGATTTAGGCCATTCTATGTCAATGTGGATACTGTCTTCCTGCGACCCCACGAGGATATTGAGTGCCTTGTCGTGGCAGTTTGGGTCGGTGCTCTAAAATAGCCGAAGTAATTTCCCACTGGCGCTTCAAACAAACGGATCACATCCACCAAAACTTGTTTTCACCAGTGTTTCGCCTCGTTTCTGTATGGATGACCCCGTTGGGTTTCTTTATGTTTCTTCTGACCGAGGATTAGGGTGGAATTCGACCCTGCCTTCAAAGTGGATCGGGTGTGTGGCACGGTGAAGCAGAAGCTAAGCATTGTCTACCAGGCTGCAACTGTTTGCAATTGAATTGGATGAACATTTATAGGCATGCGGCATGTCATTCAAACTATATATATATATTGAATGTACCTTCAAAGATTTTTGGCAACTTGATTATGGCCCATTATTCTAACATATTCCAATTGTTTGTATGGCAATCCATTATTCGAAACATTGCTATATATATATATAGGATTTTTGCTCTTGGCAACTGGGTCATCGAGTTTGTTCACAGCATGACATGGCACTAAAATCACTCGCCTTTTCCCTGGTACAGGACCATCCACAGAGGGATCATGTGGGGCTGATCGGTGAAGTGATCTTCCCCAATCTCACCTTAGGCCCACGGATGGACGGCCGAAACCATTTTTGCCGTTGAAAAAAAAATGGGGGTGTAATTATTATGCCCGGAAAATATGGGATTATGGACTTTTTGAAGATGAAAACTCTTCATAAATCAAAACCTGGACTGTGTCAGCTACTGGTCGTTTTTTTCTTCGGACTGGACGTTATTTTAAGCAATCCTTCAACTGCGTGAAACTGCCGAGTGAAATCGAGTGAAGGGGCCGGGGGATGAAGCTGATGAAGCTGGATGTTCGTCCAACAAGTGACTGTTTGGTGGTTTCATGATGTTTCATGTGTCGAATTTTCATAGCTGCTCGAAATTGATGGAATATCTTCGCAAATTGATGAAGAAATTTCCAGAGGAGTTGAAACCACATGAATTTTCCTCATCCCTCACCTGTGTTGATCTCACTTGATCAATATTGATGAATCGTTCGCCAGAAGGGATTGACATTAGGAAGAAAAATGAATGTGTTGATTCAGTGTTGACTCAGTTTTGATTCACTTTCTTGTTTCCAAGCCACAGGTGCGAACAAGCTGGACTTTGGTTCGGTTTCTTGGCCAAGACTCGGGGTGTTTTTTTCATTTTTTGTCCGCCTGAGATCGTAGCGGACCTAAGGTGCTGAACGAGACGACCAAACAGATGACCATCACCATGGGGAACCCCAATGCCCTACCAGTGAACTATCAATGGTCTTTTGTGGAGGATGCGGACCTTTGGCTGAACGATTCCATTTGGTGCTTGGGGATCTTGGTGCTTGGGGATCTTGGTGCTTGGGTTGGGTCCTGTTTAAGAGCTGGTGGACTGGGGGTTCACCTCCCAAAAAACTGAGGTGCTGAAATCAACCAGGTGGACCTGTAGCTGTTAGAGGATCAGAGGTAAATTTCAGATAGTGGGCCATCGGAATCCAACAGGTGCCACTGAAAGGGACAGCCTGGATCCATTTGGCTTCAAGTCAGGTGTGGTTGACTCTGCTCCTGCAGTTTTTGAGGCTAGGGAAGATGCTGCTCTTCTATGGTCTTCCTTCGCAGGTTTCAACTTACGCAATCCGGACAAGTTCGAGTGGCTCAAATCCCACGACCTCCTTGGTAGGATAGTGAAATTGGGCCAATTACCCTCTGGTAATTTGTTACATAGCTATTGAAAATGACCATAGAAATAGTGGATTTTCCATGATTTTCCCATTAAAAATGGTGGATCTTTCCATAGCTGCGTTAAATTACCAGAGGGTATATCCGCCAATTAGATCCAATTAGAGTAACTAAAATCACCAATGGCTCATTGGCTATGGCCTTGCACCACTCAGGATCTGAATGATGAAGAACTGGCCAGTTGCCTGGCAGACAATTGTGCAGGTATAAGCTAAATACACACACACAGACACACACACACATATATATATATACTGTATATATAATATAATATATATATATAATATATATATATGATATATATATATGTGTGTGTGTGTTATATATAGCTATAGTTTTAAATATACAGTAAGAATTTTGCTATAAACATCTATAGTTATATAGTGATAAATATTGATATAGAGAGAGAGAGAGAACGATATAGGTATCTAAATAAATTTGCCCATTGCCGCCATTCATGTCATAGATACCTTCCCAAGATTTGCCCAAGAAAATATGTCCCAAACATGCCGTCCTGGTTCATCAGCTCCAGCACCAGGACGGGAACAGTCTACCGGAACCTCAGCCTTTGCCGGAACCCTGATGAGTCCGGGCAACTCTCACACTTCAGGCCGCTGGTACATCATGGAAAGCATTGGAAAGCAAGGACATTGGTGCCATAACCAAGTGCCATCCTCCATGTTGATATAATTCAAGCTGGGGCCGGTAGTTGCTGTCTTTGCTGGATTTTCTTGGAAACTTTGGACTCGTTGCCATTTTTTTCCCATGAGCCCCTGAAAACCTGGCAGGCTTCAATCGTCAGGGGTCCCCTTCTGCTCCTTCTTCTGTGCATCTTGGCATTGAACTGGCTGTGTTAGGGAAAACTTCGAAACAACATGAAACAAATCAAGGCATTTCTGGGCTTAGATGCACTATTGATCTATTCATCTATTCACTAGGGACCAGCACCTCGCGCAGCCACAAGTTGGCTGTGGAGGTTGGTGAATAGTCAATCCATTGGCCCATCAAATCCTGAGTAGAGCAACCCCAAAAATGATGGACACGTCAAACCCTATTTATATAAACAGTGCTGAATCATGAAATGGCTTCCTTAAAAAATGCATAAATAAGAATGGGTTAGTATGATGATAAAATTGCCTATGGGTTATTATTGTTATTATTATTATTCTATGAATCATAGTCCATATCCTTTTTTAATCATACCCAAGAAATCCCAAGAAGAATATCATTAGAATATTGTAATCTGTAAATCATTCCCATAAGAATTTAGTGATATTCTTTTTCTGTGCTATCACAATGATTTCTCCAGCGACATGGCAGGGAGAACCCACTGAGGGCCCCTGAGGGGCATCGCACGTCCGTGAGCCAAGCACCGAAGAAGATGTCCATGAAACCAGCGCTGGTGGAGACTTGGACCAAGGCAGCTACCCTCTGGTAAACCTACAAAAAACGATGGAAAATCACCATTTCTAATAGGTAAATCAACTATTTCTATGGCAATTTTCAATAGCTTTTTGTATGTTTACCAGAGGGTATATGGTGTTTCTATGTTTTTACATGGATTTCGCCAGCTTGCACCAGTTCCTGACACCAGGTGATTCTGAAAAAAGTCTGTACGTTGTGATGCCTTGCTGCCCCAGGACATCAATCAGATCTTTGACATATTGCCCATCATGGGAACATTGGAGCCAGGTCATACCCAGGACCGACAGATCGGGACCAAAAAATCAATGGGATATCTTCAGGATCCTAAAATGGAGGTACTGTACCGTATAAGGCCATATTTTCTGGGGATATTCCCTTACAGAAAAAAACAATCCGGTGATGTCTACATCAGCTGCAAAGCCCGATCAGATTTTTAAGATCTGGCTTTGTCTGATTTTTTAAGATCGGGGCAGGGCCCGGCAAACAGCAAATTCCACTGGGTAATCATCATGACCCCCATGAAACTGGCTATTTTGGGGTTCCTTCATCCCGACTTCGCCACAGCTGTGGTGTGTAGTGGGCAGTGTGCAATCTCCGGTGCTTTGCATGCGCTGAAAAGTGGAAGTTAGGTTGATGCAATTGTATGCAGATCTCATTGATTCATATTGATTCTACTGTGTCATGAATGTCATATATACATCCATGTTATAGTATATATACATTATATATATATATTATACATATATATATATTATAATATTATATTAAATGATATGATATGATATTATATTATATTATATTGCATCAATATATATATATATTATCACATATATATATGTATTTTATGTTATATCATATGGTATGATTCTGAAATGATTCTTCCGGTATGACATACTGCGAGTCTATGCGTCCGTCTGACAAGCTTGAGGACATCACCTTCACCTACTACGGCATGAGAAATCAAAAGTTTGATGTCACGGCTGTGTGTCAAACAGAGGGTGGTCCGGAGCAGCTTGGATCGAAGCATGTCATCAAACATGGAAATTGAAAATAATACTGGGACAACAATGGGATATACATTAAAAGGATGCCAGTGAATACTAATGTTCATACAATTGTCATCAAACACGGCTGGGAACGTCCCCGAACAATTAATCAATGGAGGTTTCGTTCGCGAAGCCATCATCGGTGACCGGATCCTTAGATGTCGCTGGGGATCACTGAACTGGTGCTAAAGATCTCCAAGTGCACAATCTATCTATAGATATCTATAGATAGATGGATGGATGGATGGATGGATGGATGGATGGATGGATAGATAGATAGATAGATAGATATAGTTAGTTATATATAATATCATCAACAAGAATAGGTTAGAGGTTCCAGTGCTGAACAGACAACACCATTCCACTCATCAACCCGCGAAAAATATTTACGTTCGAAACAGACCCGGATTCAACATCATAATCTCCTAGATGTTTGGGTTCCATCATGTTGCCTCCCTACTAACTATAAAGAAATATTATCCATTATCATCCCACTATCATCAGAAGCATCCTCCCATCCCATCATTGAATTTATCATCAGAAGTATCCCATTTCTTTGCCTCAAGTTCCTCATGCCCCATGCATAAACACTAGCCACCAGCAAAAACACCAGTTCTTCAAAACATCAACAGCTATCATAGAATCATTCCATCCATCCATTCATTCCCAAACAAATTCTCCCATCCCACTTCTGGGATCTCCCTAAATCATCTAAAATCCCATAAAAACCATTCTCCCAGGTCCCTTTTTAGTCAAAAACATATCCTGAAAAATGGCCTTTTTGGGGATGCATCGGAGCCATCATGAGCCATCAGAGCCATCGGAGGTACGAGGTGGCGTTGAAGGGCCAGGCTTCCAAATTGGACTTCTATCTCGACAAGACGGAGCTGGACTTCGGCGAAGTGCCGTACACCGAGGCGCTTTTTTTCCGGACTTTGGATGGCGGAAGTTTCACGAATTTTGCCGGCATCAGCTCATAGCCAACATCACCCAGCCATAGTTGGGATGTAGAGATTCACCTTTATGGGTTTCCCGGGGCATAAAACCTCCATTTACATCCATTTACATAGTTCGGCCTGGCCATGTTTGATGACACAAAGGAGGCTAACATAGCTTTTGTCGATATTTGTTAATATGTGTTAGTACCTGTTAATCTTAAAATCTTAGGTCTTAGGATGTCAAATCTTTGGATTTGCGTTTCTTGTTTCTCAACAAATTGGGATCGCAAATCTTAGCTCCTCACTTCAAACTTTCGGCATCGGTGCTTCTATGCTTTTGCTGGATGGCCAACGGCCACAGAATGACACAGCACAAGACATTTATTGTTGACATACACATTTTTATCTTCGTTGCGAACTTGATTGGAAGTATGGAAGTATATCCGGATGAGTATAATCATTCCGAATGATCCGAATGTTCTTCTTGAATCACATTCTGCTAGAACGGATCTCTTTCGACCGATTGAATATGACAAAAACCAGCGCGTTGGTTGGAATGCAGGTCCAAGAACGAGAAGTGTTACTGGTGAATACGGGCAAGGCCCTCTGGGGCGGCTCTGGCTTTGGGACGTGCCAAGATGTTTGTGGATTTCGGCGCGCAGTTACACACAGAATCACGCACATATGGATTCACAATGATTCACATATCCCCTTGCCATGGTCCTTCGAGCTACAATCAGTGAATCCTTAAGTGGATCGATCAGCGATACTGTGACCATGAACATCCATGAACCATGGTCCCATGTGGCCCAGGTGGCGTTTCAATACAGCTGGAACCTCTGCGCCCTATCGCGACCCTCTGTGCTGGATTGTTGGCCCATTGCCGGGGAAATCAAAGCGGGAGACAAGGACCGATGCCATCCCATGCCCTCCATATTTTCGATGTCACCATTCGGGGGGCTCCGAAATTCATGTTTTTTTTTGGAGGGGGTGGCGTGCCGAAAAAAATACAGATGACCCAATGCGGGTAATTCTGTCACCGAGATGTCATGGTTCCAGAAGAATGACCATGTGCAGATTTTCCAACAGCTGATGCAGGAGAGAATTACCATCCGCTTTCGACCAGGCCTGGAGCTCCGACTGTTTCCGAATCCGCGGCATTCCCAAGTAGACTCAGACACGGAGAAACACGGGAAACACATGGGAAAAACCATGAAAAAAACCACATGTTCGATATATTTTGATACAACATCATGCAACTTTAGGCCCTCCCAATCCTGTCACACCATTTTTTCCGTTTTTTTTTACCAGAAAACCTCTTCTTGCCTTCACCTTCCCAGGCATCCCCGACGAAGTCGCAGAGGTTGCGCTCTTGGAAGTGGCGCATTTTGAACGTCAGCGGATCCATGTGCGAGGCGGGGTCTCAGAGTCTCAGGTGGGATTACCCTGCGGTGTCATCAAACGTGTCTGGAAAATCCTCAAATGGAAGTGTATAGCTGGGAAAACAATCGAACAAAATACGGGTTTATTGGTATGTTTGACCACCGGAGGGTACCAATAATATCCAATAATATGATTGTGTTTGTGGTCTTCCAATGCCGTGATCTACACAACAGAGATAAATGTTTGGGTGCAAACAAACGATCAGATTTGAACAATCCTACAGTTTTTGCCTTGGGGCATTTGTATGTTCAGTAACCTCCTTGTTTGATGCTTTTCGACTATGTGTCTTTTCTTTGCTTTTAGTCTGTGACCCATTCCAGTTATGTGGCAAACCCAAGTACAAACCACCCCATTAATCGACCATTTGGGGATCACTTGACATCACCCCAGTCATACAGGTATGCCCAACTTCATAAACCTCTATTGGGAATGACTGATTTTGTAATCCTCCAATACTTATCCAACATTATCCCACTATTATCCTATATCAATCCATGTTCTCATGACTCTATATTTTGTTTTACACTATATATATAAATCAACATCCCATTCGTATTGGCTTTACCGGTTGACCATGTTTACCCATGTGTTTCTCAATTAGGGCTTCTGGATGGGATGATTCACCGTTTCGGAATCCATGATGGATTCCGGCAGGTCATGGCATCTTCCCTGGCATCATCTTGCTGCATGGTGGAGGTACCAAGGAAAAGGACTTCAAAGGTCTGGAAAGATGGGAGGAGTGACTCGATCATCTCGATCTCCGCCGATCCGCCGAAAAAAAGTGGGTTAGTCTCTGGTCATGTTTCCGCATAGCGAACTGGACAAAATCACCATTTTTAATAGGTAAATTGAACTATTTCTATGGCCATTTTCAATAGAGATGTTAAATCACCAGATGGTATCTGGGAGGTGTTCGGCATTTTTTCCCGGATTGGCTAATTCGTCGTTGTTTAAGCACAGATATTTGGAGATGTTACCCGTTACCCAAGGATGGGGATATATCTGGATATGAACCAGCATGGTTGGTGGGTTGGGATGATGATCCCTAAGATTCCCAACACACCATGACGCACCCCAACTTGTTGATGTTGATAATCTATTTGGATAATTTTGAGGCATCCCATTTTTGCATTGTGAACATGAAAAAACACAATCTTTTTAAACCAATCTAAACCACATAAATCCGGATTGTATCACTTACCCTCTGCTAAAATGTTCAGAGTTTGCGAACTGGAAGTGTTTTTTCCTCCCCATTTCTAGCAGGACACCGCACCGAATGGGTCATGGCTATTTTAGCTTTCAGAAATGACCCTTGGTGTGTAAGATGTTGAAGCCCATGAAGTATCGCTCCCAGGCAAGAACACCAGAGCAACAAGGAGTTGGCGCTTCAGCGTCTGCTGACCAATGGTCCACCCCCCTTAGCTGCCTGTGTGGCTCGGTTATCTGGCCATGGGAGTAGGCCTAGAGTTGATCAAGACATGGAAAGAGAGGTGCCCTGCATCATCTTTCATATCCAACCTTGAAACGTTTTTTTTTCCCAAAAAAAAAGTTCTCATGTTTCCAACATGTTTCATGACCTTTGCAAAGTGTTTGTTCGAACAACGTCTGCCATGTGAGTTTCTCTCAAAATTGAGGACTTACCGTGACTTACCTATATATTATCCTATAGTTTACAGCCAAAGACTGGCGAAATTTCATCAAATCAAAGAGGCATGCCGCGGGACGCCTAGGTCTCCAACAGCAGCAGCAGCGTCCCAGCGGCCTCGGTGGACGAAATGGGTGAGATCTCGGGCGAGGAGACGCAGTGGCAACCGGAACCCCAACTCATCGAGTTCGAGGCGCGAGGTCCGGAGGAGTTTACCGTGCTAGGTGGGGAAATTTCAGGATATTTCAGGATCCAAAATGGGGTGTTTTTTTTTGGGGAGGGGGGGGATTGAGATATCCTTCGACATGGGATGCTTGTCCAGATTGACGAAGATTTTGAGTTTGAATGGGTTTCAGACGTGCTGAAACCATGGCTGGATGGGATTACCATCTCAGCCTCGGCCCTCACCAAAAAAAGGATGGCAAGGGAATTGATGCCAAAATGGACTTAGTAAGGGGATTGATGACAAAAAAGGGTTGGGGGATTGAGCCAGTCAAGAGCAATGAAGTCGCGAATTCATCATTTGAGCATATTTGAGCCACGTTCTAAACCCTTGTGCTCATGTTAAGCAAGGAGCCCCTTGTAAGCAAAACTGTGGTGTGCGTAAGCCAGCGTAAGCTCCGCGTAAGACAAGACATGCGCGTAAGCAAAACCTGTGCGCACGTAAGCAAAACGAAAGCAATGGCGCAAGCATTTTTTTTTATTTGGTGCCAGGATGTAAGACATTTAATGGGGGGATTCTCCTCGAGCAAAGGCAGGGATGATGGTGGTGATAATTGATAATCACTCAGATGATGAAGGGCTCAGTTAGGTTTGAAAGTTTTCCTGATTTTTTTTGGGAACACATTTTTTTAAACATGTACCACCCCTAAATCCTAAAACATACTGCTTAGTCATATCCCTATGAAAAGTACATTGCATTTCTGTTTGGTTTTGGACCATATTTCACACCCAATGAGCTGGTTCCTTGGTAGTAGATCCTGCCGGTGCACAGGTAGATCGACACTTCATCTGCGAAACATTGCTGAGCCAAGAGAAGGACCTTTCAGTGAACTGCTGGAGTTTTCTTCACTATCCATGGGTTAGGAGGAAGCGGTTGGAACATGAAGGGAAAATCATCAGGAAGACTGGAAGACCACTATTTGTCTCTTTTTTTGATGTTCAAAAACCAATGGTTTCTTGCAGCTTTTCTTGGCCACATCCTATAGCCGGTTGATGCTGGTGGATTTTTGCAAGGCATTTTTCTTGGCAGATGCATGTTCGATGTTTGACATGATGCTTGGATGCTGAAGCAGCGCATGCTTCAGCTGATTTCAGCTGCTCGGCGGAGGATCTTTGGAAGAGGCATTTGGACAAACACGCGGGCAAGGACTTCGCTGTGGAGCCAGTGGGGACCTTTTTTTTTTAAGGTGCCATGGTTAAAACATGGGGATGTCATCAATCCATAAATATCCATAAATGGTAGATGGGGGTTCACAGACCCATGAAAAGGAAGCCTAATGATGGTAGGCGGACTATATTTCAGCATGCCGTGTGATGACGATGGCAAATATGGCACATATGGGATGGACACAGTATACCTTGGCAGTTTTCCCCCAGTTTTCCCAGTCATGGCGTGATGCCCACGTGTTTTTTGGGGATCTTTTGGGATTGCCAGGAGCCAATGATGAAGATCGGCCGAGGCACCGTTGGTGGGGTACGTTGGTCCAACATGGGTCATGTGGGGCTCAGAATCCCAAAGATTCGCTGCACCCAGGCTCCGCGAGGAACAAGGCAGATTGGAGACCTATGCTGGAATTGCCCCCAGTCACAGCAGCATACTACTGCTGCAACTTTGGACACATCGTGCTGGGGCACTCTGGAAAGAGAGTGCCTTGGGATTTTTGTTTTTTTTTTTGAGCGCCATTCTTCAACGATTTTTGCGACCAAGAAGTTTCAGTTTCCATATCCAGCATGGCACTCCAAGTCAGTTTCTTTCAAACACAGTAACAAAGAAACTAACATGCAGTTGATATATACATATATATATATAGCCCCATCCAGCTCATTCCAGCCCTAGGTGATCTCGGTGTACAACTGCTTCCATGAGAATGTGAACTTCAACATTGGCCGAAAAGTGCTGATGCAGCATGGCTTTCAGATTTCGCCTGAGAAGGTGAGCAAAGTTCTCCCTGGGAAGAAGGTGAAGTTGGAGCTCACTTGTTTCAGAGACAGGACCGGAGATTTCGGAGAGATCGGGGCCCTGGATTTTCGGTGAGTCGGTGTTTGGCCAGATGATCTGCAACAAAAGCCAGCAGAGATTTTCATCATTGACGCTTCATGACGCTTCTCTAGAGTTGAAAAACATGCCGGATTGTCAGTTCAAGGATCTTGAAGGTTTATAGCTGGTTGGTTGTTTGGAACATGTTTTTTTTTTTTTCAATTTTCCATATTATATGGGATGTCATCCTTCCCATCGACGAAGTCCATCATTTTTCAAGATGGTTAAAACATGCTAAAACCACCAAGCAGATAGGCTACAAATGTAGGTGCATGGCCTTGATCTTGACAGATCTTGACAGGACAGGAGAGGAAGGAAAGCAAGAGACCACTTGGATCATCCCCGTCCGTGGTGGCCCTTCCTATGAGGTCGCCTTGGGGATAGGTCATCATAGGTCAGGTAATGTCATGGTATGTCGGATAGGTCAGGTATCATATCATCATGAGTCATGATGATAAAAATGATGAGAAAAATGATGAGAAAAATGATGAGAAACATGATGAGAAACATGATGAGAAAAATGATGAAAAAGGCCACGCAATTCCAAGCGAACATGAGTTGAATCGGAGGAATCGTGGGGTCCAGAAAACTTGATGCAAGGCTATGTAGATCAATGATGATCAATGTGTGACACGTATCTTGATGCTCGATAGTTGGCTGAAATTGGCCATGATCCTTTTCGAAACTTTCTTCAATACCCATCTAGGTCAGGGCAAAGAAAGTACTCCCCCAAAGTGGCTGAGTAGATGCTGTCAACACTCATTTGCAGCAAATTAACCACATTCTACTAGGATCTACTAGGTATCCTGCATATATCATGATATATCATGATATATCTACCACATAAATCCTATAGTTCACCTAGTGGTCTCCAGCACCTGCCACGGCAGGTGAAGTTAGTCAGTGAGTTCGTCCGGCCGGACCTGGAGCTCTCGTACTCCACCATTGACTTTGGACATGTGCCGGTGGGGCAGGTGAAGCGAATCACCATGAAGTTCCACGGCTGGTT